GATACTGTATCCTGTGGGCCAGAAGGGTGTTGTGTTAGTGCTAGTAAAAGAGAATGATCGAGTCAACCCCCTATCAGCTCTCAGCAGACAATAATTATATAGCAAGAACACTATTCTTAGTCGCATAATGAATGCATTCATAAATAAATAGTAAAATTAAAATAAATAACAATACCGATTACAAACAAGCGAACAAGAAAAATGGGTAATGATCAAAATGACACTTATTAGAAAGAAAAAGTGGCGCTTATTATATTAGAAAAGAGGCAGTTATCCAAGTTTAAATTTGTCACTTTTAAGAAGGGAAAGAGTGCACTATTAAAAAGGAAAAGGAGCAAATTTGGGATTTTGCAGTGATTTATTTATTTATTTATTTATTTTATTTATTTATTTATTTATTTATTTATTATTATTATTATTTTTTTTGGGGGGGGGGGGGGGCACTTATCAGATTTAATGTGGAATCTTATCAGAACGAGAAAAAAGGCGCCTGTCGGAGCGGAAAATTGGAATTTATCAGAAGGAAAAGGGCATTTATCACAAGGGGAAAGGGGAATTTTTCAACTTAGGAAAAGGGCCCCTATCCTAAATAAAATGAAAATAGTTTTTCCGTATAAAAAGGGGCACATATCAGGAAGTGAAAGAGGGCACTTATTAGAAAGGCAAAGGTACACATTTACGAATTAAATTCTCATTGTTCAAAATTGCAGTTATCATTATTAAAGAAGGGGCACCTATCAGTAGTAAAAAAAGGGAGCACTTTGGGGGCTTTGTGCCCTTTACCCCCCCCCTTCCTCCTGGGAGCGCCACCTCTGCTGAGGGTTGATAAAAATTGAGCGTTAAAAGGTGTGAGAAGTTTACAAAGTTGCTCGTCAATAATTTAATGTCATTGTCAAAAATCTTTAATTGCTGGTGATAAAATTCTTATTATGATACATTTCAAACGAATCTTAGACATAATTGTAATTTTGGAGCAGAATAAACAAGCAGCCATAGTGAGATATACCTTTGTTTTCGATTGTAAAAGTGAGAATAGTATTAGTGATCACCTGCTCCGCTCTGCCCAAAAAGAATTGAATAAAATTCTCGACTACTATATAAAAAAGATACATATACAATAGTTGATGGGTAAAATCTACTCCTAATTGGATTAAATTTAATTATCCGACTAACATGTATATAATTATGTTCCCGTTAAACTTTTTTTTAAAGATATCCATTCAATCTTTTATAATTGTAATAAGTATTATTATCATATACATGTATATGGAATGGTTTGCGTGCGATGTGAATGATTTCCATCCATCATGTTTTTGCTGATTCCCACCCCCTACCGTCCCATACTGAAAAACTGGCTACGCCGTTGGATTACCCTCTTCTTCAAGAGTTTGAATAATGTACGAAATAAGCTGCCAAGAAGTTATAGCATTAAGAGAATTAACCTTTCGTTTGCCTTATGTGCACATTCGCCACTCGTGCAGAATGGCACAAAATAACAGACAACAAACAACAGAAGAATTTCTTTGTCCAACACGAAAGTTTTGCAGAATTACCCATTTTTGGCATTGATTAGCTACGTGACAATCATTCTAAAACATGTGCAGATAAATTTTACTCTGAAGACAATGTCATTCGAAAATTCTCGAATCCCTTAGGTCTAACTATTCGTCCAGTGACGACCAATCCCGCGACAAATACTTATCCCAGTCCACGTATTCACAATGCTCTCCGAAATCAAATTCCTGGCAGATGCAGCGGAATCCATCGAGTTCCTCCATGCATGTTCCTCCCCAATAACACATCTGAAAATCACACGCTGGAGAAATGAAAAAAAATGGTAAAAAGGAAAGTTGATGATGGAGGAGAAGAGGGAGAAAGGAGTTTGTATAGGCAGGCACGTAGCTACGGGGGGGGGGGGGGGGCACATACCCCCCAAAAAAATTTCCAAGATCGATTGAACTTTTTTTGACCCCTTTTTTGACCTCGATCGATTACATGTATGTGCCCCCCCCCCCCAACATCAAACTCTGGCTACGTGCCTGTGTATAGGAGGAGGAGAGGAATAATTATTAGTAGTACTAGTAGTAGTATAGTAGTAGTAGTAGTAGTAGTAGTAGTAGTAGTAGTAGTAGAAGTAGTAGTAGTAGTAGTGGAAGTAGTAGTAGTAGTAGTAGTAGTAGTAGTAGAAGTAGTAGTAGTAGAAGAGGTAGTATTAGTATTGTTTATTATCAGTAGTAGTAGTAGGATGAACAGGAGAGGGAGGCGGAGAAGGAGGATGACGATAAAGAAGAACAAGAAGAAAAAGAAGTAGAAAAGAAGAAGAAAGACAAGAAGAAGAAGTAATAGTAGATACATTAGTAGTAGTGGTAGGATTAGTAGTACATGTAGTAGTAGTAGTAGTTGTAGTAGTAGTAGAAATAGTAATTGTAGCAGTAGTAGTAGTAGTAGTAGTAGTAGTAGTATAGATGTACTAGTAGTAGTAGTAGTAGTAGTAGTATAGATGTAGTAGTAGTAGTAGTAGTAGTAGTAGTAGTATAGATGTAGTAGTAGTAGTAGTAGTAGTATAGATGTAGTAGTAGTAGTAGTAGTAGTAGTAGTATAGATGTAGTAGTAGTAGTAGTAGTAGTAGAAGTAGTAGTATAGATGTAGTAGTAGTAGTAGTAGTAGTAGTATAGATGTAGTAGTAGTAGTAGTAGTAGTAGTATAGATGTAGTAGTAGTAGTAGTAGTAGTAGTAGTAGTATAGATGTAGTAGTAGTAGTAGTAGTAGTAGTAGTATAGATGTAGTAGTAGTAGTAGTAGTAGTAGTAGTAGTAGTAGTATAGATGTAGTAGTAGTAGTAGTAGTAGTAGTAGTATAGATGTAGTAGTAGTAGTAGTAGTAGTAGTAGTAGTAGTATAGATGTAGTAGTAGTAGTAGTAGTAGTAGTAGTAGTAGTAGAAGTAGTAGTAGAAGAGGTAGTATTAGTATTGTTTATTATCAGTAGTAGTAGTAGGATGAACAGGAGAGGGAGGCGGAGAAGGAGGATGACGATAAAGAAGAACAAGAAGAAAAAGAAGTAGAAAAGAAGAAGAAAGACAAGAAGAAGAAGTAATAGTAGATACATTAGCAGTAGTGGTAGGATTAGTAGTACATGTAGTAGTAGTAGTAGTTGTAGTAGTAGTAGAAATAGTAATTGTAGCAGTAGTAGTAGTAGTAGTAGTAGTAGTAGTAGTAGTAGTAGTAGTAGTAGTATAGATGTAGTAGTAGTAGTAGTAGTAGTAGTAGTAGTAGTAGTATAGATGTAGTAGTAGTAGTAGTAGTAGTAGTAGTAGTAGTAGTAGTAGTATAGATGTAGTAGTAGTAGTAGTAGTAGTAGTAGTAGTATAGATGTAGTAGTAGTAGTAGTAGTAGTAGTAGTAGTAGTATAGATGTAGTAGTAGTAGTAGTAGTACCTTCTTCTTCTTCAAAATAATCTGCCTCCTTCACTGCTGAAGATTCTTGCAGATGTGTGCGAGTGCATGTGTGTTGCAACATGGGGATGTCCAGGTGTGCATGTGAGGGGTGTATATATACATAGTGCCAGTAAAAAAAAAAAAACATTGCCGGAATTTACTTCCCCCCGGTCTTTAGTTGTCGCTGGAAGGCTTCCACTGATGGAGCCAGGACAACCTCAAGAGGGAGAGCGTTCCACTGTCGAACAGTGCGAGGAAAGAAGGAGTGAATATGTTGCTCTGTTCGTGACTGCATGACACGATAACAGTAAGGACGAGACGATCTTGTAGTTCTTACGACTGTTGCCGGTTGGATGTAGTGGTGGATGTCAAAGTCAACCAAAGAGTAGTGCATCTTTTACAGTAAAGTGAAACGTTGATGCTCTCTTCTCTTCTGGAGGGAGGTCCATCCAAGTTGACTCAGCATATCAGAGACGCTAGATGTATGATGATAGCGGTTGAGAACATATCTCGCTGCTCGTCTCTGGACCATCTCCAACTGGTTTACACATCTGATGGTGTGTGGATCCCAAACAGCACTCCCGTACTCAAGAAGAGGGCGAACGAGAGCCTGGTATGCAGTAGTCTTAAGCCGAGTGGAGTTGACACGCAGGTTCCTTCTAAGAAAGGCTAGGGTGTTGTTTGCCTTCTTGCAAGTGGCAGATACATGCTGTGTCCAGTTGAGGTCAGCAGTGAGAGTAATGCCAAGGTATTTGGCAGCTGACACAGACTCCAAGATTTCTCCGTTGAGTGAATAACGATGGACATACTTGGTCTTCTTCCTGGAGACAGTTATGACCTGGCATTTCTTTGGATTTAGTGCCATCATCCACTTGCTTGACCACCTACAAAGTTGATCAAGATCCTGCTGTAGCAAGTCTGCATCCTCAGGTGTCTGGATGGTATGGTACAGAACCGTGTCATCGGCGAAGAGTCTGACTTTCGTTGAAAGTTGGTTTGGCAGGTCATTTATGTAGAAAAGGAAGAGGCAGGGTCCGAGTACTGACCCTTGAGGCACACCTGACTGGACCTCTACCGTTGATGACGTATGACCATCTAGAACAACTTGCTGCTTACGGTTGGAGAGAAAACTGGATATCCAGTCAATGTTGTGGCCTCTCACACCATAGTATTCCATCTTCTTCAGAAGCCTCTGGTGACCAACCTTGTCGAAGGCTTTACTGAAGTCTGTGATTACTATGTCCGTCTGATTGTTGTCCTCCATGTTGTTCAAGAGGTCGGTGACAAAGCCAGTCAGTTGGAGTTCACACGACTTCTTAGCTTGGAAACCATGTTGAAGTGGGCAGAGGATACTGTTTCTGCGCGCATGACCCATGATGTTACTTGCAAATATGTGCTCCATCATTTTGCAGATGATACTTGTGAGAGAGATTGGGCGGTAATTCTCAGGATCTGTTTTATCTCCCTTCTTGTAGATGGGGACCACGTTCGCAAGGCGCCAATCATCTGGAACTTCACTGGTCCTGTATGAGACTTCAAAGATGGCACGCAGAGATGGAGCTACCACTCATGAAAGCTTGCGGAGTACCAATGCTGGTATTCCATCTGGTCCCGGGGCTTTCCGGACTTTCAACTTCTTTAACATCTTAACAATGCCTTCAGTTGAGATGTGGATGTCTGGCATGGAGTCATACGGAGATGTTTCAGGAAGGAGATCAGCGGGAACATCAGTTTCATTGGTGAAAGCCATCTTGAATTGTTTGTTCAGTGCTTCAGCCTTGTCCTGGGGGCTAGTGATAGTATGCTCATCAGTTTTCAGAGTATGTATCCCACAGCGGTCAGTACGATTGTTCTTCACAAACTTCCAGAACCTCTTCATTCCCTCGTACTCATTGGGTCCATCAGCAGTGAAGATTGACTCAAGATGGCTCCAATATGCCTTTCTTGATTCTGCTTGGATGAGGCGTTTCAAATGTTGCAATTCTGTCTCAAGCGGGAAAGGGACCAGCATGTTCTGTTTCCTGAGCCTGGTCACTTGCTTGTGTAACCTATCTCTCTTATAGATGAGTTTACGGATACCGCTAGTAATCCACGGCAAGTCTTGTTTCTGTTTGAGCATCTTGTGGGGGACGAATGATTGAATACCCCCTTCAATTCCACTCTTGAAGAGTTGCCACAGGTCATGGACTGATGCACTGGATGACTTGCTACATATGTAGTCTGCCACATGTTGCATGAGTTCTGCGAAGCCCTCCCAGTCTGCTTTCTTGTACATGGGAACTTTCCTCTTTGGCTGGTATCTTCGTGGGGGTGACATGTCTATATCAGCAACTGGACAGTTGTGGTCCGAGATACCAGGCACTACCTTCACAGAGTTGACCAAGGTTGGATTGCTGATAAGTATCAAGTCAAGAGTGTTCGCTTGTCGAGTAGGCTCTTTGACAAGTTGGGTAAGACCGTGATCGTTTATAATTTCCCCAAACTGATGATGAAGGGCAGGGTAAGCACAGGGACCAACATAAGGGCCATCCCACTTCCATCCAGGTAGGTTGAAATCTCCTGCAAGTACAACCAGGTGTCTTCTATCTAACCTGGAAAGAGACCGTTGCAGCTCAGCGAGGCTGACTTCATCATCTTCTTTTGGTCGATAGTAAGCTGCAACATGAAGTGTTTTGCTCCCTGCCATTTCAATACGACACCACAGTATCTCACAGTCAGTCTCCAGTTCTTCCTCTCTTGTAACGATCAAATCAGTCTTGGTGGCAATAAACACCCCTCCATGTGGGTCATTTGAACGGTCCCTACGTAGGATGCTGTATTGCTCGTCAAGGAATACTTCATTGCTGTTGATGCCATCAGACAACCAGGACTCTGTACCAATGACTATGTCAGGGTTGTGTTGATGAACCAAGATGGAAAATGGTTGCATCTTAGCACGTATACTCTGGCAGTTCACATTGAGAAATCTTAGCACTCTAGGTCGAGGTTTGTGCTTAGACCGCCTTTGCTTGATGTTTTGGGGCGACGATGAGTAGGCGGGTGAACCAGGAGATGATGGGTTTGATGAGTCACATGTAGGCCTACATGAATTTGAGTTTTCCTCGCTGATGACATTTTGGCCATCAGGATCAAGCACTCCAAACCTGTTGGTGTCTGGACTGAGTTGCAAGCTTGAGAGACAGGAATGAGCCAAATTTTGAGCCCCACAGTGGTTGCAGATCCATACGATAGAGCTAGAATCAAATGCTACATACTCGGTAGATGTTAAGCCAATGCATTCGGCGTGAAACCATTTCAGACAGGTTCCTTCACACTGCACTCCTGTAGTCCTTGTAGTAACTGCCCTGGAGCATACTCCACAAGGATATTTAGGCTTTCTACCCATTACACAATATCTAATTATGAAGAACTACTACTAATAATACATACATTACTTGCTGGCAGGAACAGATCAGTAGGGTCAGTACACATGTAGACTACTACAGCTATCAGAGAAAATCCACACAAGCTTAAAAAAAGCAGTTAAAATTCCACATCAGAGGCTAAGCAGTCAAGTATCGTGTCATGCATTGATTAGAAGTAAATAGATCCTTGCATGAATGATGACTAGAGAAATCTTGAACTTTGAAGGAAATCCAAAGTAGACCCTGGTGCAAGTTAAAACAAAATTCATGGAGATCCACCATGAAGTGCTATGAGTGGGACTGCCCTGAGAATATACACAAAGCTCAAGATGTACAATGAAGATCAATTTCCCCAAATTCAGGTTTATTTCCACACAAAATCCAAGAATATCACATCCAGGGAGCTGTTAGATGTAAGTACACCTATAGCTGGCATCCATGAATACAAAAAGTGGTATTTTGTTGGTAGATTAAGTGGATTTTTTGGCAGCTGCCAACAACACAACAACACATCCCCATATGCACACACACACCTCCTAAAGAAGTAGTAGTAGTAGTAGTAGTATAGATGTAGTAGTAGTAGTAGTAGTAGTAGTAGTAGTATAGATGTAGTATTAGTAGTAGTAGTAGTAGTAGTAGTAGTATAGATGTAGTAGTAGTAGTAGTAGTAGTATAGATGTAGTAGTAGTAGTAGTAGTAGTAGTAGTAGTATAGATGTAGTAGTAGTAGTAGTAGTAGTAGTAGTAGTAGTATAGATGTAGTAGTAGTAGTAGTAGTAGTAGTAGTAGTAGTACAGATGTAGTAGTAGTAGTAGTAGTAGTAGTATAGATGTAGTAGTAGTAGTAGTAGTAGTAGTAGTATAGATGTAGTAGTAGTAGTAGTAGTAGTAGTAGTATAGATGTAGTAGTAGTAGTAGTAGTAGTAGTATAGATGTAGTAGTAGTAGTAGTAGTAGTAGTAGTAGTAGTATAGATGTAGTAGTAGTAGTAGTAGTAGTAGTAGTATAGATGTAGTAGTAGTAGTAGTAGTAGTAGTATAGATGTAGTAGTAGTAGTAGTAGTAGTAGTAGTAGTAGTATAGATGTAGTAGTAGTAGTAGTAGTAGTAGTAGTAGTAGTAGTATAGATGTAGTAGTAGTAGTAGTAGTAGTAGTAGTAGTAGTAGTAGTAGTATAGATGTAGTAGTAGTAGTAGTAGTAGTAGTAGTAGTATAGATGTAGTAGTAGTAGTAGTAGTAGTAGTAGTAGTAGTAGTATAGATGTAGTAGTAGTTGTGGTGGTGGTGGTGGTGGGAAAGAAAGGAGGAAAAGGAGGAGAAGAAGGAGAAGAAGATGAAGAAGAAGGATGAGGAGAAGAAGGAGCAGAAAAAGAAGAAGAGAAAGATATACACAGGTTTACAAATATATCCTTCTTTAACATCCTGAAAACATACCATTGCATTTGACCCGTAACAAGGCATTGTATTTCAATAGTCGGAATACGTATGATAACGATTAGTCGCTGATGTGTCTGACATCCATCTGGTAAGTTTTGTAAGCTGGTATAAATTTATTTTCAAACAAATTTCTATAGAATTTGATGCACTCGAGAGGAAGTACTATGTCAAAAAAACCTGCGTTATACATTTAGATATAGGTTATGATCACCCTCAAATGTTCTTTTTATAGAGTAATTTAAATTAAAAGGGGAAAATGATTGAAGAATTCAATGCTGAAAGAAGCTGTCAAAAATGTTTCACCGAAATATTAAATGATATTATTTTCGAAGGCTATTTTTTTAAAAATGATAACATATACTGAAACATTTCACCTACCCGGGGGTGCGCAGTACAGGTTTATTTTGTCCCTCGCTTCTTCTGGCGTTCGGACTTCATATTCTGGATGGTCACGTGGTAGATACTTGGGAACCAACTTGACTACGTCCCCAGTACGTTCAGACACACCATAGGGACAGACATCTTGTGGTATCAAAGGGCATGATCCATCAGCAAGAATATCTGTTTGAAACATGTAATTATACAATTCTAAAACATGTACCTTATATACTATATAACCCAGTCACACAAACAAGGACGACACCGGATCGATAGCAGACAGGACGATAATCTACATTATCCCGACTGGCCAAGAATCGCTCGGTTTAGAATCAGTTTTTAGTGTGTTTGACATTGTGACTGAGGTCCTTGTCACATCGGCAAACTGATTTCAAACAGAGTAATTCGTGGCCGTTCAGGGTAGTGTAATTTTACGGTCGGCTGTCGGTCTGGAGTGGGTCTCGTTTGTGCGACTGATATTCTGTTTGAATTTAGTTGTGTTCTTCAACACTCTGACATATTTTGTAAATTGCAATTACTCAATGTGATAACTCAAATTTGATCCAAGATTTTTACAACGAAATATATCTTTATTGTGTTGTTTTTCGTAAATATCAAATGAAATTTGAACACTCACTCTGGAACTGTAGCTGGAGTACGAGGATGATAATCGCTAATCTGAAATGCTAGTTCAAAGTGTGAAGTAAAAATGATATATTATAGTGAGAATAGGGGCCGGGCTCTGAAGGAATGAAGGAGTATATCCATTTTTCTAACATTGTGAGATATTTGTTTTACAGTAGAATAGTTATTTTCTCTTGCAAGATGTTTGTATTCGGCCAATTGTGTGTAACGTATTCTAATTCCTTCTCTCTAGCTAAAACCTAGTTTGGACAATTTTAGATTGCTAAAAACTGTCAAGAAAATATATATATATATTGATGTATATAAGAACAAATCCATGCGGTAGAGCGGTTTTAAAAACAATTGGTAATATGCACCTAATTTAAGGAATGCTTCTCTTCATGAGCTACTGTGGTTTTTTTTCTTAATAAAACCTCTATAGAATATGATGGAATTTTAATTTCTTGCTATGATCATTTCTAAGTGTCCTAACCTATCCTAGAAATAGAATCTTCAAACTACTTTAATAACGAAAGTAGAAAACATACCATTTTGTTATGGCTAGTCGAAACACTGTAAGCACGAACCGTTGAAAATTCCCGTTCTTGCACTGGCCGAGAGCCGATAATTACTACTGTTGCCGCTTTTTTTAATAGTATTGAATGTGCTCTCCTATGAGATTAATAAAACCTATGTTTGTTCGTTTTCTGCGCTCACGCACATTCAATGGGTGTCCCAGTTTCACTGAGCAGTAGCCTAGCGGTTCACATGGAAACCCCGGCGTACACAACGGGTGCACATGCATGCCCCAAATCGAATGACGAGAAGAAGAAAAAAGTTTTTAAAAAATTAAAGGAAAAGAAAGAAAAATAGAATGAGAGTGAGTGTGTGTGAGGGAGAGAGGAGAGAGAGATAGAGAGAAAGGCCGGGGGGAGGGGTCGTTATTAATAATAACTAATAGTTATAATTTAGTTTAAGAGATCTTTTAATCGAATGTTTCTTTAGGAAACAACAATTTTTCAATCTACATTTTAATTACTTTTCTCTCCTTTTCAATATTTGACAAATTTTTCCAGTAATTCTCTTTTGTAGTATTCATTAATGTTTAAGTTCATTTGATGTATTGTCCCCATAAAATACACAGACTATTTATTTGTTTTAGTTCCTGACGATATTCGTGAAATAAAGTGATCTAAAATTTGAGAACTCGCAAATTTGATTCATTTCGGAGTTTTTTGTTAAAATATATGGTATGTATGCATAATCCTTCGAACATTGGATTCAATCGTTCACTTACGTACTGTATAATTTAAAACGTCCTCATTCGCTACCGTATTACCCCAAGACAGGACCTTTTGGGGCGATATTTCAAAGATACTGGCAATTATTGCTAGTAGTAGTAGTACTGTCGATTATTGTTGATATTACAAGTCATTAACTTTTGATGATGGAATGAGCGTTAACGGATAAATGCCAAACTATTCGGATAACAATATAATAATAAATGGAGTTGAAAATCATGGAGACCATTTTCGTCATTTGATCTAGGCAAATTATGTTATTGTAGCGTGGAGGTAGGGTATATTAAATTGTTTCATTATTCATAAACAGAAGCTGAGAAATTAATTGCTATATTTTCGCGGTCTTTCATACGAAACATTAGCGTCGTCACTACACTGCCTGTATCGACAAAAGGGTACTTCTCCTAATTACATGCACGTTAGAGTCGTTCGCTCTATTCCAATCACAATTAGAGATAATGAAGGGTTTCTTTTTATCCCCGACATGCATCACTTACTGTGTATTGGTCCATCTACATGTATCTGTATGTGGTGGTTATCTGTTCATGATATAAACATATATGTGGTGCTCAACCCTTTCCATTGTAAACGATAAAGCACACTGGCGTACTGATGGAGGGGGGGGGGCAGTTGACCCACCAATAAAATTAAAACGTAGTCTATATCTGATCCGATACCAGTGATTTACGAATGTTGATGAAATGACATGATTTCCGTTTTTTCTTCTCACTTGTACCTATTTTTGCCAGAGGCGGCACTCCCTGTAAGGGGGGGGGGGGGAGGCTGTGTCCCAACTATTAGGTGTCCCCAAAGTGCCCCTTTTTACATAGGACAAGTGCCCCTTTTCTTTTCTAATAACTGTCCTTTTCTCTCTTTAATCTCTAATGAGTACCTCTTTCGGGTGCGAGAAATTCCCCTTTTCTCCTCTGATATTTTTTGTTCTTTTTTACTTTGACTAGTGCCCCTTTTCCTTCGTAATAAGAACACCCTTCCTTTCTCTTAAATGCAACCTTCCACCTCTGATAAGAGTCCCCTTTATTTTGACACGTGCCCCTTTTCCTTTCTAATCAGTACCATATTTCCTTCAGATAAGTGCCCCTTTTCCTTTTTTAATAATTATATGAGCCCCTAATTAAAAGAGACTTAGAGCCCCCTTTTCTATAAGTTTCCCTAACATTCGCTCGCATATTTATAGATGTTTTAATTATGTTACATATAAAAGAACTTTTCAGTCTTTCTGCATTAGATTGTGCTTAATACTCATCATGATTTGTTTTTTGTCTTCTTCATAAGATGTATTTTTTTCGCACTGGGACCTCACAAATCTTGAAACTTTTGCTCACTCGCTTTGCTCGCTGGAAGATGTATAGGTGCCGTGATTGAGTGGTTAAGTCGCCGGACTGTCGATCACAAGGGCCGTGGTTCGAGACCCGCCGTGGCACTAATGTCCTTTGGCAAGACATAGATCTACATTTGCCACACTCAACCCAGGTGATGTAAATGGGTACCTGACAGGAAGTAATTCTTTGAAATGCTAAAGCGCCGCAATGGCAGCACAGCTAAAGTCGGGGTAATAATAATCACCAAGTTTGGAAGCGCTTAGTGATTCTAATAAGCGCTATATAAAAAAACTGAGTATTATTATTAGTACTTATATTATATTTAGACCACCACACCCAACTACAAAGCATGTTGCTTATCTTGTACCACGTAAAGAAAGAAACAAATATTGATATCATCCCTGGTAGTGTAATCACGATGATCATGACGATGTAGAGGTATAAATTTATACCGATGTTTTTGTATGTTTCCCTTTGTACGTGCCCCCTTTTTTCCTCCGGAAAGTGCCTTGTTTGTTGGTGCCCCTCCCCTATTTTGGAAGACGCATCGCCGCCCCTGCATTATGCTACTTGGTGGTGATGCGGATTTCATTCTGACCCCATGTGCTCATTACGCCACTGATAAAGCATTTCTTGTGTTCCATTTGTGTAGAATTGAGCAATCAAGTAGAATTCTCGCCAACAAAGGGCTCGTGTGAACGTCTTCGGAAAACAGGACTCGTAAATCATATTTATTAGTTTTGAAAAGAGTCATGGATGGACGCATTTTTTTTAATTTTCCCGAACTAAACCCCTTTGAAAAACGAGACTACGGGTGTAAATAAATAAATTTGTTTGACAGGCATCATTACGGTTGTCGTGACAACTTATAATGTTGTTAATAAGGTTACATCATCAGAATCGATGAGTTGGTTCGCAGTAATATAGAGGTATTTCCAAATACGTAAGCCTCTATACCTCAATCACACCGATGTGACCAACTCCAGACCGACTACCAGACCGAACAGCATTGCACATTACGAGTAACGGCCAAGAGTCGGTATGCAGCCGGTCTCTTGTCGGTCTTGTAACGGTCTTCTCGGTGTGACTGGGGTATTACAACAGCTGTCTTCGATGCGTTACCAAAGCCAGGCTAAACCCGCAGTCCCACCGCTGTGCCAAACCGACTCCACACCGATCCCAAACCGACTAATTCTTAGTCTTTTGATTTAAAGTAATTCTTTGTTGGTCTGTTGTCGATCTGGTGTCGGTCTTCCTGGTGCTACTGGGGGTAATAATTCAGTTACACATTTAAACCGACTCCACACCGATTCTTGTCAATTCGGGGGTAATGTAGTTTGTTATGTTTGGTTTGTTGTCTGTTTGTTGTAGGTCTCGTCAGTATGACTTGAGTAAAGACTCTTTAAAGTACGGGAGTGTGACGTCATACTGGCCAAGTTATCAGAGTTCAATTGGATCAAAACAATTTTGTGCTAAAGAATTCGTCTCTATTTTCACGAAGTGACGGTAGTGAATGAAAATCGCATACAATTTGCGTGCGGATTTTCCTCACTACCGTCACTTCGTGAAAATAGGAACGAATTGTGGTGATCACGCTAGCCCCAAACACTAAGCTAACCATACCCTGATTTACCCTGCTCTGGCCCTTTGCTCGAATGATTTCGGGTGAACCTCATGCGCAGACTCTGTTGTTTTGAACCAGTAAACTGTATTAAAACAGCGTTTTTACTGATTATTTAGGTTACTGTATTGTGCTGTCTGCTTTGCATACATCAGTGATTCTTTTGTAAGTCCATGCGAAAGTCCCTTGTTCGGCACCTCAGTGGCAATGGACAGTCATGATAAATTGGAGGTTCTAATTGTTTTAAGAATATTTCTTTTTTGAGTGCAATCCCACTCTTTTTAATTGTTGCCTCTATGTCAAAGTTTCTTGTTCTCTCTTTTCAGTCTCGTCTCTCAATTTTTCTCCCCCTCTCTCTATTATTCTCCTTTATATCATTATATTACTATGGTATATGTATAAATTTGTAAAATCTTTTGTCTTTTGTACTTTTACCCGGTAATAATCCATGTAATTCAGTCACTCGATCGGCTGCCATGTGGAATTCTTTGAGTAAATACCATTACAAATCCAACCCAGATTATGCTATTGATCTTGTAAATATTGATCTTGTGGATTTGGGGCTCTCTTGTTATTTCAATTTTTGCTACCTTTGACAACTGTGTCAAATCGCAATGGAAATACGAATATGAAATAGTTGATTAATAAAAACAATGTGAATACCAACTTTCCACTCCACCATTTACTTTATTACTATATAAGCATGCTTTTATAAATTTCTTGTTGCGCACAATAATACAAATGATAGTAACAGTAATGTTCTGATTTTTCAAGTTATATATCAGCAGTATCAGAAATTAACTAAGCAATTCAACATTGAAACGAGCTACAATACAGTGTGTCCGTGATAATAAAAACCTAAGTTTGTATTCGTAAATTACTCAATAATCCGCAATAATCTCCCAAATTATTTGCTATCATTAATATATACATCACTGAAAAGCTCATTTCATTTCTATCATATGACAACAAGAATATGATAATTAAATCACATACGACTGATTTGAGAATACTAATTATGAAAACTCATCATGTAAAGCCTGATATTCTTATTTTTCATTTTTCTCATTTTAAGGCTATCCTAAATGCCTACCATTTGCACATTTAATTAAAAAAGTATTTCTCCTGTGGCTCTTACTTTCGTCATATGTGAACTTTTCTGAGTACATTTGCACCAATATATTTTTGTCTTACATTTGTATATCTTTATGTAAATTCCGGTAATGTTCATTACAAAATATTTCTTCATTAATTTGTGTGAGTGTAACTTAATATAATTAGGGCTTAGAGACAATTAACCTCGATCGCTATTTGATGGAAAATCATTTATTTGATCATTCTCTGCCAGTTCCCGGCGGAATTTTTTTTATGTTCAACCTTTGCAAAGAAATTAAAAAAGAGAACAACAAGGGGGAACTTTCCTTTAAGCTACACAACCATCATAGTATAATTTCATTTTGAATTATATGAAAGACAAACAAAAAAAATCATTGTACTATTAACATCATCATTATACTTTTTTTCAAAAATGGAAAGACCTCCTCTTTGAGTAACACACCACAAAATATCATATAAAAAAAATTCTGATTATGAAAACTTCGATAAGGTACATATAAATTGAAAAGATATCATTTTGTCATTGAAATATAATAAAGATGATGACAAATGGCAATCACCTGGTTGCCCGAATATGTGGTGACGGAATAGTGGTAATTGCAAAATGCTCGGGGGTTCTTTGTGGTCTAGTGGCTTAGGCATTCGCTTTCTCAGCCACTGACCTGGTTCAATTCCCGGCGGAGACAATTTATTTCAAACTTTGCAAAAAAGAAAAGAAAATAAGGACAGCAAGGGGGACCTTGTATTTAAGCTACGCAACCATTGTTATCTAATTTTCATTCGCAATATTTATATATCATGTCATGACAAAAAGCGATTAAAAAGAATTGAAAAAACCCTCGTACCATTATCATCATCAACATACTTTCCAACAATGAAAATATCTCTTATCTGACTAATAGAACATTAAACATTATTTAACAAAAATCATCTGATCATGAATGCTTCCATACGGTACATATAAATGTACATATATATACTGTCGTCACCTGGTTGCCTAAATATGTGGTGACGAACTATTGGTAATTGCAAAAGCCTTGGGGAAGGGGGACGGGAGGGTTCTGTGTGGTGTAGTGGTTAAGGCATTGGCGTTCTCAGCCAGTGACCCGGCCCGATACCAGACAGAGGCCTCATAAATACCAAATGCTTGGGGAAAAGGGATGGGGGTTCAGCCGACACCCAGCCCACCCATACCCTGCCTAGTATGCCAATATAACATCATGTTCTCTTTAAGACCCTCTTCTTGCTTAAATCTAAATTAATACAAAAGCTGTTTACAATTTTTTTAAAACTCAAGTATTAGAATGAATACATCGCTATAGTCAAAACCAACCTGTGCCATTGGCAGTTGCAAAATCGGTGGTGCTACTGGCATCTATGTCACTGCTCTAATTTCCTTTGTCGATATCTGTTGAATCCGGTGGAAGATTGTCGGCAGCATCATTACTCCTCTCATTGTATTTGGTGCCATTCTCTGCATCCTTAGGGGAACTTACGGCAGCATCATTGTTGGTGGAAGTAACATCATCGGTACCCTCGGTAGCTTTCCTGGCATCAGTTGAATCCAGATTTACAATGACCGTGTCAGCATCCGTGTTGGAGGAAACACCGTCACTTCTCTCAGTGGCTATTGGGATAGATGCATCAAGATGGAGACTTACCGCCACAACATCAGCGCTTGTTGCATCACGATCCGTGTCCTTCTTCTGTTCCTCTGTGGAACTCTGGATATATGTGTTCATGGGTGGTATGACCCCTTCCTCAACCTGACTATCATCAAAGGTCGGATTAAACATACACATATGATCGGGATTGTCGTCTTTGGTAGGCAAAAAGTAATTATCCGAGGCTCCTGGGCGCAAATTGCTATTCATTCCAGCTGACGAGGATAGCGCCGTCACGCTTACCCCACCGCTGGAGGTGGTTGCTTCTTTCTTTACGAACTTGTCGAAACAAGTTAGCCCCCATTTCTTACGGATGTGAGGCTTCCGGACACAGTAGAGTAGAAAGATGAAAAATCCTTGGAAGGAGTTCAGGATGATGAAGATTGGTTGAGCCACCTGTTAAACACAAATGTTTCATAAATAATAATTAGGTATATGGCATTCTCTCTCATGTACTTCAGATACTAAAAATCTAAAGAGGTATTGCTGGTGTATGTAATTATCATAATTGAGTTTTCAAGATACTTCTTAGAAGTGATAAATACCATACATGAGTTATTCTTGAAGCTAGTTGGCTAATTTACCTGACTAAATGTTGGAATCAAAAGAAGATATCCAGCGACCCAGGTCAAACCGAGCACGAGCAAGATGCAGATCGCGTTCTGGACGCGTACTATAGTCTCCCGACGTTCTGCCTTAGCCTCTTTTTTCACCCGACCAGCGAAATTGGCTGACCGGATCAACTGTTGCACCACCAGGATGAAGATGACGATGTTGATGAGGAGGATGATGGACATGGGAATCAGGAGACCACCGATTTGAGCCCAGAATTGTAGAAAGCATCTATTGATAGTAAATATGCATTTTGTAAAGTGACTGAATTATTAAAGTCAATAAGTACTGACTATCTTAGCGACATTTATACAAAATCTTCAGAGTCCTTGAAACATTTTAACTCATAATTTGACATTGTAAATAATTTTGCATTATTGATTTTGGCAAGTCCAAGCTTTGTTGTCCCATGAGTTACTAACAACAACTGAAATGTTTGTATGTGTGGTGACTGCATTCACTTGGTGACCTTTCTAGAGCTTGGATCACAACACATACCCACGAAAGTGATGTCGAAATAGTAATTTCAGATCACAATTGCAATCTTGCTAACTCATGAGATACCAAAGTACAGAAACGTGATTTTGCTGAATCCGAAATTTGAAGATCATGTGGTATGCTTTATGCTATGCAATCCAATATTCCAGCTAAACTGTCAAGCGGTACCACTTACAGATCATCATGGGCGTAAGAGTCTCTAGCAACAGCTCCGGTAAGAACCACGATAAGTGCAGGAATTCCTGAAATGACATACATGTACAAGGAATTACATTTTATAATCATTCATAAATGATAATACACCTAAATTGGCTACGGGCTTAGCTCATTCCTTTCTCTGTTTCTCTAATAGGCCTACTCATGTTATCGTTGTACTGTCCAGCTCACAAGTTTTTACTACGGTTATGGTGACACAATAATTATTTTAAAATTGAATAGATATCTTGATTTTTATAGTCTCTGGGGTTTAGAGTCGTCTTTGTACGAATCGCATGCCATGTTTAATACTTATAATGAGGAAATTAAACATAAATGACAACAACGACGAATCTACAGTATGAACATTGTTAAAGGGAACCAAAACCTTCATACTAAGTTACTTTTGTAATATGTAAGATATTTGAAAAATATTAGTGAAAATTTGAACAAAATCGGGCAAGGAATAAGGAAGTTAGAGCTTTTTGAAATGACTAGTCACTAAAGGGCGGTATTCAATTTGATGACATCATCTGTGGACAATGCAAGTCTCCATGCCTTTTGTACATAAAATTTCATATTTTTTTTGTTTTCTTCATATTTATTTGTGTTCTTGATCCGACTTCATAACATATGAAGTAGAATATCATTTTGCATTCTATATCTTGCTTTCAGGGGAGTAGATTATCTCAATCACAAGAAAGAAGGAAATTCAAAAACATGAAATTATGTACAAAAGGCATGGAGACTTGTCCACAGATGTCATCAAATTGAATACCGCCCTCTAATGACTAGTCATTTCAAAAAGCTCTAACTTCCTTATTCCTTGCCCGATTTTGTTCAAATTTTCACTGAATTTATTCAAATCTTTTAAACTTTACAATAAAAGTAACTTAGTATCAAGGTTTTGGTTCCATTTAAGCTATGGTCACAACACAAAAAGTAGCCTGCTCGGCGGCCGGGCTGCGAGTTTTCAGCCAATTTCGCCCGGGCACCGTTTATTTTTAGGGTATCACTTGGTCGCCGCTGAAGTTTTAGCGCAGAGTTACAATTCGGCAGCGCCTACTCTTTTTTCACTCGCCGCCTGGAGATCAGTCGATCACTGGGCGGCAAGTGCAAAATTAGTCGGCAGCCTTTGACCTAAATCGCTCGACGGCGAATGCTCGATTAACTCGGTGCCCTGGCGGCGACCGCTTGGCCACCGCCCGTATTTTGGTGCCCCGCCGATCATTGGCCGGCCGCCGCGCAGTTTCTTTAAAATGAGCCCCAGGCCGGTGGGAAACCGCTTGGTAAGCGGGAGGTCATCAGTCGGTCACTGCCGGGACGCCGCCCTGAGAAGCTCCCGGATTTCGCCCAGTTCGGGCGACCGAGCAGGCTACAAATCGGTCGGTCGCCGCTCTGGGTTGTGATGATAGCTTTAGATGATGTCTGTTGGACTATAGTCCGTCGTAATGTGATATAACAATGAATATAATACACTGCCAGTTTTGGAATTATTTAGTTCTTTAGAAAACAGAGACAAGTAAATATTTCCTGTGTTATATGAATAAGAATTATGTTTGATCACCCATTCATCATGTTTTAAATTGCTGAAAGTTGATTGCAGAACAAAATATTTAATGAAAGAAATATCTTACCCCATGCAGCTAAGAAAGCCTTGACCATAAAACTCTGGATGTAGGTGTTAAAGATCTTTACAATGATGAGGTAGGTATTGTACCCTTCCACACCCATCCATGCAATGGAGGACAAAACGAAGTAGTGAACTAGGGCCGTCAGGAACCCACAGGGTCCAGCTAAGACCTTACGAGATTCCAGAGAGATCATGATGACAAATGTCGTGTAGAGACACAGCAAGGTCAGGCACAGACAGATGAAGATCTGGCTAGTCTGTTTGGTCCTCAAATCCCTATCAAGATTGCAACATCGGAATACGGTTATGAAAGCGTTGAAGCAATGTTGTACCATACATGTTCAGATTTACCATCACTTCATTAGCCACACAGGAAACAGAAATGTCAAACATCAAGACAAAGTGAAATTAAGGGCAAATTGTTTGTAAAATGAAGGAAGTTTCGTGATTGTGCTCAACTTATATACACGTATCTCTTTTATGATCGGGCACAAATCTCCAGAATTGTCAGGCGTGTTAAATAAAATCAAACTGGGTGGAACTATTCAGGACGATGTCAAAGTGGAATGTTCGAAATGAATATGGATTCTGTTCTATATGCAAACTGCACACCAAGAGGCAGAAGATTTGATTTACAAAGTTGGTAGAATATTAGTGTATATTGTTTAATATTGATATGATACAAACAAATTAATATTGTAACCTATTTGTGACCCTCGTCACACCACCCCTATATCACCAAGCAAATAATCATATTATGGCTGTTTCTCTTTTTCTTCTCTTCTTCTTCTTCTTCTCTTCCTCCTCCTCCTCCTCCTTCCCTTACTATCATGAACTATACATTGTTGATAGTAGTTCTCAACAGCCCTGCTGGTTCAAACAGAAGTGATACGGGATAGAATCGTGCTCCAGATTTATACGTATTTCACAAATCGTTTGATTCACAGATACTTTCAAAAAAAATTCGGGGCATTTGAATTTGACCAGAGAATAAGTACATATTCTGTCTCCTTTGTATTACATTAATGATTGCATATCTTTTCTCAATGGGCTCACTTGTGCCACAGGTAGGTTGCCAATGTGACAAGAAGACTGAAGATAGAAATACAGCAGCCAATATAAGTCAGGATGTTGTATGCCTTCTCGTCAGGGCTCTCCTTTCTATGGATATCCTGTAACATGAAAGAAATGTGTGCCCAAACTGAAACATCTTCTTTGAATGCTCAAATAAAACTGATTTTTATCCATCAGCTTTCATAAAGTCTATGTGTCGTTAATTGAAAACTGAGAAACTGGGAATTCATTATAATAGAAAGTGGTGTAACTTTATATTACTGCCGGGAAAAAAAAAGAATGTCACTTTACTACCTTCCACACAAGACAACACACCTTCAAAAAAATTTTGATCTCAAGCGTGAGAATATTTTCATACCCTATTGAAGACCACCTCTACACTCCATTGTTCTTCGGGAGTTTCGTTGACGATCAGCCATGCACAAAGAAGACGAGGGACCTGATGCGTGGCTGGTCGTCAATGAAACGGACTTAAGTATTTTGTCAACTATGTTTGTTGCTTTGGCAGGCAGCCAGTGAAAACGAATTTGTTTAATAAAAAATTATGGAAATGCAAGCATTACTTTAAACAAACATAACTTTGTTATTCCCAGCACATTTTTCCTAATTGAGGTGTCATATGAAAGGGCAGAAGATGAACTTTCTAGAAATGGGCCCGCCAAATGACTTTTTGGTACCCTCTCTTTGAATTGTTTGTAATCACTCATGCGTGAAATATGCATCATATGAGTTGCATCAAATGAAAGAGGAGGATATAAGCTTTCCAAATATGTGTCATTTATTAATTATGATTGTGATTAAGTTATGTTAAAACCTCGATAAATCTCGTTTTTTTTTCTTGGACGCACTGTATAGTACAAAGACCATATTATTTAATCCGTAGGACCAACTTTATCCCAGTTTCATCAAGAGGATTATCACGTGTAATAATTGCCTAATTGCTTTTCACTGACCATTATAACAGCGAAGTTGGTAAGATGATCACACGCACAGCGCACGTTCTCCTCATCATCAGATGATGTGAATCCAGAAACAAGAACACACCCATCTTGGGACCAATCTGCCTGCTCCTCATCCCAGAATGAACAATTGGGATTCATGTATCCAGGCTACACAACAATAACAAAAGAAAAGCAAGAATTGCATAGACCTATAATACAATTTGTTAATAAGGCATGAAAGAAGACTGAATGGTAATTTTGATTGGTTTAGTTTAAAAGCCCATTTATACTGAGGGAAAAAAGAAAGAAAATAGATTGAAATACGTATAATGTTTAACATTAAATTGTAATATAATCCACTATAGTATTAGAATTGCTGATAATTTTCACTTGCCACTTGTACATACAACTTCATATAAACATTCACTGATGTATAATGGACCTTGCTTCTGGAGTGCTGTACCACGTGAAATACGTGAATTGAAATTTGTTAACACTTTATTAAAACGTAAATACAAACAATATTTGATGGACCTATATTGATGGTAGCTAAAAATTTCAATGTTTGTTAAACTCATTATATTTTACATGTCATTGTTATTTGATTTACTTGTTATTATAGCTTAAATTAAATCATGAGACTTTTTATATCTAATTATTTGGTCAGCCGCATATAAGGACCACCTGCTACCATGAAGCTGTTTTTTTTTATTGCTTGGCAAAATAACTAGAATTGATTTGAACTGAATATATGAAAAAAAACGTTATTCTGCCCCCCTCCCCCCCCCCCTATGATCTCGGCCGTCGAAAGTCCGATGAACGCGAAAATTTACATGTTTGTAGATATTTACGTAAGGAACAAGGTGGTATAATTCGTTTTTTCCTAATATGCAAATTTTGTTGTTATAGCCTAATTAATTATGCAAAATGCTAATTTTATGCATTTTACAGAAAACTCTTTTTATTTGTCTGTAGACTTGTGAAGAATGTTGAAAATGTATTGAATAAATGTTTCCTTCATCTCTAATTCATGAGGTTACCTTATTTTTATGATATTTGAAAATGCATAGGTTAATTTGCATAAATTATGAATATAAAATCTAGAAATATACAGGGAACTATAATCATTACAAAAATGGTCAGACTCCACTTTTTGAATGTTAATTGAAACCCATTATTCATATGAAACTTCTTTTCTAACACAAAATAGTTATTTTGACGTAATTAATAATGTTAATTTATGCAAATTTGATGCAATTTTCAAATATTTATTTTCTTTTGTATTTTATTGTTTTTTCTTTCTTATTATATCTATTGTTTTATTTCTAATGTATTCTTTTGTTTTGGAATACATCAAGTTACTTTGAGAAACATATAAAAGCAATTTGATATCAATTTATAGTATTTACATTTCTGCTTGTACATGAATATATGCAATTATAGCATATTTTTGATGACATGCGCATACTAATTGTTATGTAACACCTTACAGGTATATCCGATGTCGACGAAAATGTCCCAGGCCCCCCCCCCCCCCAGTACAGTAAGGGTTAAATTGTTATGGGTCTTACCATTATCGTTGTGAAGGTAAAGTTGATGGATTCGGTCAAGGCTGCTATATTCCCTTGACCAATACTGAGAGAAATCACGGGAGAGTTAGCCGATCGATTGAAGCCTTCATTATCCGCACTCAATGTGCGCAATGATTTAGAAATGAACAGGGCTGGAGTTGAAAATACATTGAAGTTGACCCGAACGTATCCACTACTGCCATTCGACTGCGATCCCGAGAGTGGGGCCGTGGACGAAATGATGGATGAAACTGAAGGTGGAATGTTGACCTGAGCAATAGTGTCTGGTCTGGTAGCAATGTTCTCATCGCGGTCATCTTGGGTCGGAGCATTGATGGTAATATTGGACTTGGTCAGGTCTGAAAGACTGGATCCAGCTAGCGAAAGCACAAGACCACGCATTATGTCCTCAGCAGGTACACTCTGGACCTGTTATTTGAATCAGAACTTCATTTATCATTATTATTGTTATTATCATATTTATTTTACATTAAGACTACTATTATCATTATCATTATTATTGTATTTTTATATTTTATTCATTAACAATAATATCAATATTTTTTTTAAAATTATAATTATTATTATTATTATCATTATCATCCAAAAATATAGAACTGGGGGAGGGTACCTTTGCTCATGCATAGCCTTTGCTGTGAAATGTTCTCCCTTGAAAGCAGATCAGTTGAGGTGTTTAAAATTGATCTAAAATTATTTCTATTTGGATTGAAATATAATTAATTGCTCCCTTTTATTTAATTTTTCTGTAGTTTGTATAAAATGCAGATGCTTTTTTGTGATTTCTCCTTCGCACTAGTACACCATGAGTATTTGATTTCAAGTACCTTTCGAAGGTACAAATCGAAGATTGTAATCATTATCATCATCATCATTGATTTTATTTGTATTATTGTCATCACTATCATTAATACTCTAATTATTATTAAAATTATTAATATCATTATAAAATATTTCCATTAGTTTTGTCATTATTATCACTATTACTATTATAATTATAATTGTTATTCATATTATTATTATCATTGTTATCATTATCATAATTATCATAGTTATTATAATCATCATTATTGATGACGACGATTGAAAATGACGGAGGCGATTAGCACCATGCAAAGACGTTCAAGTAAGGCTTCCCCCAAATTAAAAACGTGCACAAATAATGATGTTGCTTGGTAGATCTTTTTTAAAATGAAAACAAATATGGTGAAAGTGTCGCGCCTTGTTGGACACCAGATAGAATGAGACGGGAATGGACGAATGGCAGTGTCAGTTTTGTTTTTTCAATTCTTTTCATTTCGAATATCCATGTCTACAATTATATAACTTGGACATGAAATTCTATATTATAGTGGTTGAATCAAATTATTTTTCATAGCCTACGATATCAATGTAAAATCACCTGTACGGCTACATATGGCTGCTGAATGTTGAGCATCTCACCATCGGCAACCTCAACACGACTGATTTGTTCCTCAAAAGCCTGGACAAATTTACTTATTGCCCCACCATTTTCCTCTGCAGCTTCAAGTTCCTCTGTGTCTACCTGAGCTATATTGCTCACAATACTTGTTATAGACTCTGTTACCTGTCAATTCAAACACAAAATATGAAGATGATTTAAACTACCGTATAGTAGGAGAAAAATGCCAAATCTTGAAAGTCAAACTGAATGAAGATTGGGTATTAAATAACATGACAGCCTTAGCACAGCTGTTATTCTAAAACTGTTACACAACTTCTGGAAGAAGCAACTGCCAAGGGGTCAAAATATATGAAAGGACAGTGACAGGCCTCAATCAGTCATAGAACCAATAAAGTATTATACAAAATGATTTTAAAAAAGAGCCTGATACGAGGTAAGGCTCTAGTCAATTCTCTATTCACAGTAGTTTAGCTTCAAGGCGTCCAATATTGTTAAAACTGGTTGAGAGTCAAATTTTTCCCCCATTAGATAATTAACGGAACATAATAAAATTCATCAACAATCGCAACTTCAAGTTCAATAGGATTAGTCTTGCATCGTGCAGAATACCTCTTCACCAGTAAGATTTTGCTGCACAATGTTGGATGTTATCTGTGTCACAAACGAGATGTCATCTGATGTGATATCTTCGATGTTGGAAGTAACAGCTGATATTTGCTGGCTAACTTCACCTGCATTTTCTTCACTAACAATTACCTACAATTTGAAGGGAAAATATCAATACAGCATGTACACGTTGAGTGATACGACTCTCCCTCCTTAAGGTAACATAACATTAGCGAACATGTTTCCCTTAATACAATATTGCAATGACATATAAGTTTATTATTATGTTTAAAAAAAAATTATTATTAAAAAAAACACTGTGTCCCATAATATCTAATTTCACAACTAATGAACCGGTATCTATCAAACGAATTTAGCAGTTATAATATTGTTCACGCTTGTCACACCAACATTTTACAAATGCAATAATTCAGTAAAATTCTATTATTTCAAACTATTTTATGGTTTTAAATGCTGTATTAATAACAATAAGTAGGCCTATTGCAAATGCTCCTATTGCAGTATTGTCAATGAATATGACAGAGAATAAGTTGCCGCCTTAAAGGTATTACAAAGTTTTGGTATGGGGTCATGAATTTGGTTGAAATGAAGCAGGTATGCGATTTTACAATATTCAATGATCTTTGTCTTGGTTGAAATCGAGTCTCAAGTAATAAAAGTGAAAATAATGAATTCTTTATGTTGTATAGCGCCCTCTCAAGACTGATATTACTTTAGCACTAAAACAATGTTTCTTGACTACAATCGATCAATTTGCTATTCCAGTTTGGAAATTATATATCAGAACTGCATATTCCGAGATTTTCATGGTCGCAGCTACCATAGAATGGCCTTAGACGCTATTTGAATTATTTGAAATTTACCGGGAGCACAGTAAATTTTGTATCATTCAATTTCTTGAAAGCAGAAGTGTTTTAGGGGCTAAATTTTCTAGTGCTTTTAAAACATTCACAGGGGCATCCAAGTATATCAACATTTTAAAGAATTACTATTAATTCAATTTTCATAATTTCCCAAAACTTTGCATTACCTTTAAGTAAACATCGTCCAGCGCATTTGCGATTGGAATTAAAACCAGTAGAATTGATTGTCCATGGGCTATTCATTACCTGTTATGCATGCTTTTATAGTTTTCAAATGTAAAGTAAGGATACACTCTAAAAAAAAAAGTTGAGTAAGAAAGGAAAATGAATGTTTATTGCTTTTAAATGTACACAATACTGAATAAAAATGTACACAATACTTGGTAAAAATAAAGTACCAAATCGGGTGAAATCTACGCAATGAAAGGTCATCTTATACTTATATTTTATTTTTTATAATTGTCTTTTCTTTCTCCAGGTTGTAATCATCAGTGGTATCTATACTTTACTAAACATGATTGAATTACATATGAAGGGTATTACAAAGCATCTTTTCAATGATTGAAATTTGAAGAAAAAAATTCCAAAAACCTGTGCAATTTCAGTGAGAATATCTGTGACATTTCTAAATGGTCCGCAATTATCCACAGGTTGCCACTGGCTCTGGGTAATACCATCGCCGATACACAGAGCCCGTCCAATGGGTTCATTGGCTGTTTGGTATAAAAGAAATACACATATATCTTTTATATATATATCAAAAGAACACTGGCAAACAACTATTACCATATAAAAAGAAAGGAGACATAAATAAAGTAAAGAAGTAGCGTCTATGAAATTTTTCTGAAGTAATTCATGACTCTGGAACTATTCAACACATTCAATAACATCCCCCGGATGTAGAATATTAATTGAGGTCTGAGGGCTGGGGGCTTGGGGTTCCTGCATTCATGTTTTCTATGTGTGCCTCGCTTAAATTCAGATTTACTCCAAAAAAAGTTTGGGGGCTTGAATATCTATAGGGAGGGGCTTTTAGCATCCAAGCCCTCATCTTGATTTGCTGATGTTCAATACCGGAGGGAAAGTAGCTACATCGGTTTGACATCATGATATCGAGGATATTTTGGAAATAGTGTTGCAAGTGAGTGAGTCTCTTTCAATTCGACTGTCATCGCAGTCTAAACAGAATTTACGTTATAGCTTCATTGTCGTCCATAATCTAGAGCTACTTTTGCAAGCCTTAATGCCTGTTCAGATATGACGTGGCAAAACCGTAGCGGTTTGTTTTTTCATGATGACGTAAAGTGTAATACGCATCACATTTCTATCTCTTTTGACACAGAGATAAGTGCATACGCCAAAGACATTTGCTACGCGCAGTTGCAATTCATTAAGACCTCACAACAACAAAACCTGTGGTGTCTTTTTTGCGGCGGTTTATCACTCCATATCTGAACAAACCTTTAGGGAGAATTATCATATTAGTCGTGCTATTCAACTCAATGCCTCGTCCACTTCCTCGAATAAAAAATGAATGACCATCAAAACCAACCTTTAGTAGTGTTGAAAGGACACATTCCTGTTGAATCTGCCCATGTTCCGTTTTCACCCACCGGAAATTCGACTCTTTCAAACCGAGGAGAAATCCATGAGATATTCTGGCAAATAGCTTCACAAAAAGAAAGAAAAAATCATCAAAAAGAAAAAAAAGGCTCAACCGACATAGATTTTGATAAATATAAACAAGAATGATAATTAAAGGTAAAGACCAGTATTGGAAACGCCCCAATTTCAAAAAAAGGAAATGGAAGCTCTTATTACAAATCATGTAAAAGAATATGTTTTGACTAATAAGTGATCATACAAATTTTGCCAAGAAACCGCCTACTAATTGATATATTTGGTAAATTATTACATCTATTTGGACCTGATAGATATTACGCACGTGTCGCGCACATGTGCGTAGTCCCATATATATCTTTCTGTGTACAGTGCTTGTAACTTTACCAAGACTGGGGCAAATTTCTTATCATTTTGATGATTCCAGAACCTTGCAGTACACACCATACTTATATGCTAGATGATCAACCTTTTCTGATCGATTCCACAACGTTTCTTTCACAATGCAATCACATGACCATAAATGAAGGGCCACAAGGCCGCAAAACTTTGAATGACCATGTGCACACACACGCACACATGCGCGCGCACACGCACACATACATGTATGTGTATGTAAATATATCATGATGCTTGATTATTATAATTGAGTGATATTAAGTTTGTATGACATGTATATTTGTCCATACAATGTATTTGTTTTTGTATGTGTTTGCACTTCAGAATCTGAAGAAAGCCTCACAAGCCAAAAGCTCGTAATACAATTATAAAGTACAGCCACGTCTCACGTTCCTAGACCATTTTCTTCACGCCTATATATATATATATATATATATATAGCTTATATAATTGTTATGTACATTTGTGTGCGTACGTGTGTGTTTGTGTTTGTGTGTGTAATACTCATGCATATCAATTTACTAATGCCACACATCCAGTTCAGTGCCGTATCCAGCCTAGCCATACCCCCTCCTTTGACGGCCCATGTAAAATAAATACTTGCAATGAGTAATAACACAAAGGCGAGACAAAATACGTCGTGACCCCTGGCTTTTCGCGTCCCCTACCTGACATCTCTCTATGGATACCCCATGCACAATGCTGGATATATATACATTGACCTTTAGAACTACATGTATATGAATGAACTTGGTACCGTTATTTTGAACTGAAATGGTGTTGGAATCGAGAAAACCATTTGATTCATTGGCTAGACTCTCGAGAGATAGTCCAAAAAGATCTTGTGTCTCCAGTGCCGTTAAATTGGTCGGCTCGATGAAGATATTCATGTCAGCTTTGACGCTTCCTGGTTTTAGGGCTCTGCATACTACTGATACGCCCTCCAACCCAGTACTGGTTCGGAGGCCTTGCTCCACCTTAACACAGGTAAAAAAACGACAAATAAAAAAGGTAAAACGTTTAATAGATATGTCCTTGTTTAAGACTGGTACTCTCCCTGTAACTTCTAAAAGTATACGTCATAGCGGAAAACCTTTATTTGTAAGTTAATTATACTTGTGGTAGAACTGCATTTTGAATAATCTTGGAGAACTGAGTGAAATTATCTGTACCATCAGTATGAACTGGTGCCGTTTAAGAACTGGGGTGGCTGTTCGAATGTCGGGGCTGCTTTTGCTGAGATATAAAGTGTATCATGAAGTTTTTCAATTAATAATGAGAAGGTTGAGTATATAATTGGTAAAGGTGAGAAGAAATTTGTGAGCTTACTCATTCTGTTGCCTCAGTTTGGACATGTTGCAAGAATGTCATAGAAAAAACTTTCCCCAGAAAATACTGGTTCTAATAGTTTGAAACCCATCAAATTCGAAATGCAAGGCATAAGCCAGATGTGTCTCGCGCATCTCTGACCAAATTTACATAAATGATGTGAAAGAGCATCACTGACTCAAGTTTGGGTTGCACCTACGAACCATTGTATTCAGAGTAAAAACTTAAAGCTTATTACCGGTAAACCGAAAATGATATGACGCAAGTATGGTCACAGTAGAATAAACATTTGCAAAGTTATCGAAAACATTATCGCTAGTTGCTAAGTTATTTGTCACAGGGAGGCCCACAAAATAAGCTCTGACCTTATATTATAACGTAACCCTCGACAGCAGCATAATTTTTGTCACGAGAGAGTCTAATTTTGCACGTAAACTTTAACATTTGTCACAGGCGACGGAGAAAGAATGCTTTCGGATCCATTAGTGGCTTAGCATAGTCTCTACCACCGGAAGGTGAGACAATGATGAGAATAGCTGATAATGTTTATGTTACATGTACATGCAATCAGCCTTTACCAATTGCCGCTAGGAAACTTGTTTTATAATGTACTCGCATTCTAAAATTAAACTGTACATTTTAAACCCAAAACAATATTAGGCCTTGCCTTGCAGAATACAACTATAACGTAGTCGGCATTTCAAATATGAGTTAAGTTTGAGTTGAGTTGAGTTTGAAGTTTATTATCCAAAACAAAAAAGTACATCAATATAAGAATCAAATGTGAATGATTAATTAACATTGAAAGGATAAATGGGACCAGAAAATAGCATTTAATGCTAATCGTGTCTAGTACCATTAACACACAAAAGTATCACAGCAATAAATCTAGGGTAAATATGTTCTCTGCTTATATACAAAGCTTTGGTATTTTACACTAAATAAAAGATGAAGAATTATATAACATAATATTTACAAAAAGGCAAGAGCCTTGGTTCTAAGTTATAAACAACTATTCTATTAAAATGCATCAGTAATGTTTAGGATATACTTACATAGGTGCTGATGTTGAACGCCGTTTCTCTATAGAGTTTAGAAGTTTGGTCATAAAGCTCATCGCGGAATGAAATGGCAAATCTAGCATTCAAAACTTTTATATTGGTAAGATCTGAAAATCCAAACATACATAACAGGAATCAATGGTAGATTAAGGGAAGGGCACTGAGGGAGGGGAGGGGAGCTTTGTCGGAGCATGTTTAAGGTAAAACGGATCAGCAAAAACCTGATGATTATTTGCAAAGTTTAGGAAAAAAGGCCAATTTACACAGACCTAAAGTACTTTGTTTTGATACTGAGGATATTTCAATCGTTTATAACGTTAACCTGCAAGCTCCATGCTGCAACAACTAGGCGTTGTGGCGTGCGCCTGTAATCCAGCTAAAAAGTGGAAGTTACAAACTGATTCAGCCGAGGACGCAGGTTCGAAACTGAGTCACGTCTTTCGGATGGTGACGTTTAAAGGTCGGTCCCAGACGTAAATAATCATATCAGATTGATACACGTCTGTAAAAACCCAATACACACACACATCCATGCTGCATGCATGAAACTTTTCGCAATAACAAGGGTATTCTACTTTTTTCGAGAGCAGATATAAAACCTGGCTAGAGTACACAGGTCGCCTTGATTAAAAGCTAGACACAAACCTAAATTTTGTTATTTTTCTTTTGTTGGCCTCATGCAAAGCTTTTACCTTTGACATATACAGATGCTGGCGTCGTGTCTAAAGTTTCTTCATGTCTCCCTGAGCCTCGGCAGAAGTAATACCCGATGTTACTGGGCGAGACAGACATGATTATCAAAGGATTCTGGTTTTCACTGTTGGGCAAAAGGACATCATCTTTGTACCAGTGGTATCGCTTGGCATTGTTGAAACTACATGTCAGCTCCACTCTGGCATTGATGATGACTATCTGGCTTGACGGATGGACAGAAATCTCCAAAGGAACTATATTCCAGGTAGGAATTAGAACATACGACGGTGAATGAGGTAATTTCAATATCAATAATGATGTAGAAAATAATGATGATGATGACAACCATTGTTTTGTAAAGTGCTTTAATCAGTTGTAAATTGGATATAGCGCTATAAAAGAAACAATTTATTATATATATAATAATAATAATAATAATAACTAGACTTTAATTCGTCACTGAGACGAATTAGGTGATACGTATGATAATGGTTTACATAACGAATAATGCATTACACGATATATTATTCTGTAAAATGCTTCTCCCATTTATATGCTTATCCCATTATGATCTATTCATATGTCAAGATTAAATTGTGTCTCCTTGATCATCATGGATCTAGGGAAGATAGATTGCAACAATATATGACCTTTGACCCTGTGCAGTGTCCAGTTACACATTTGACTCTAATTTACATCATGAAGAACACCTTTTGACGATTTTATCTTATTCAAAGAAATGAAAATGTAATTGATAAATGATTTTCATCATTATGATAATGATGATCATGATGATAATGATCATGATCATGAGCGCAATCCTGACATCTTATTGAAAATATAAGAATTGAGTTAGATAGCATATAGTCTAAGCTACAACATACTCAAAAATCAACAAAATCCAAGCAGAACTAACGGCGATATTGCTTGCAAAAGACAGGAATGTAGAATCCAGATTTGAGAAAAAGTCATCTCCCTTAGGGATTACACGCAAAAAGTAATGGATTAAGTGATAATAGGGTAATAATAAAGTAAAAAGTGTTGTTTATGACATTATTTGTGATTCTACGTGTTTAAATAATCAAAGGAGATGGTACAGTGAAGGTCAAAAGGAAAAAAAAAGTGTTGGAGACACCCGGAATCGAACCAGGGATCTCGAGGTTGGAAGTCAAGTGCGTTACCGATATAACAAAACATCTCCCATAGCGATTAATTACACGTAAACGGGAAATGGAATTCAGAAATCCTACTTTGCAAGTGAAATATGAGCATAATCCCGGCATCTGATCGAAATATAAAAGGCACACGTGTGATAGCTTATTGTCTCAGCTACAACATATTCGAAGCTCAGCGAAAACAAAACTAAAATATGGGAGATTTCGCTCGCAAAAGACAGGAGTGTAGAATCCAGTTTTGAGAAAAAGTCATGTCCCATAGAGAATACACGCAAAATGTGAAAAATTGACATGCCTCCTTTAATCACAAAAGTACGCCTTGATGCCTTAGTCAAAATGAAAAATTGTGGCAACTATACTTGTAGAAAATTGTCTCAGCTAGAACATATCAAAATTTGAAAGAAAATTCATCCATATTTACAGAGATACAATCAATTTTCCAAAAATATGCTGACGTCATAATATGCAAATTAAAATTTTGAGTTTGGAGGCCATTATGATGACGTCATGAGTTAATTGAGGATCAAATGAGACATGAAATCATATCTCCGACTCATAATCTATCCAAATATGACAAAATATTAGGAGTTTCTATCTATTCTAAAGAGTTACAATGAATTTTATATAGGCATGTTTTTGCCCATGTATTGTGGATAAAGATAACGCAAATCCGCGCGTGCTGTCAACTTTGACGGACGCTCATTGCGTTAATAAAAGGTGAACAAATTATCAAAATGCTTGGAAAAATGTACCGAATATGATGAACGAAAAAAATCGGCGATTCTATGTTGCAAAATGCCAGTACGCGCGAAAACGCGCGCGCATGCGCGTGTGCGTAATTTTTTTAATTAAATGCTCCATATGGCCTGAAACGTATGCAAAAAAAATTTGGGATGATTTAGAGCATTTTTAATTATTGCGCGCGCGTAAACGCGCGGACGAGCGCGCACGCGCGCATTTACGCACGTTTATTGACCTCAACTTGACTGGACGGATATTGATCTTAATCATGATAAATATGAATGAAAAATTATTATTCGTTATAAAGATATTATCATTAGTTGATTTTCACAAAATGGCGCCTGGATGACGTCACGATTACTTTGAGTCTTTGAAAAGTCACGCAGTTCTAAGTTAGACTAAGATCTATCATCATTGAAAGATTCATAACAATGGCTTCGTTCAGTCTTGAGATATCCTGCGAACAAATTCGAGGAAGAATAATAATAAATAAATAAATAATAAAAATCTTGACGAAATCAAAAGGTGATACGTCTACGTACGTATCACCTAATAATTATGATTATATGAATAGAGAAAATACACATTCCCTACTACTACTACTACTACTACTACTACTAATACTACTCGTTATACTACTACTACTACTACTACTACTACTCCTACTACTAATAATGATGATTACAGCTACATTAACATATTTGTAAATACCCATGGGATGCTTATGGCACCAACAAAATAGTATTATGAGCCCTACACTTGCTATTAGGCCCTGAAAGCATTTAAGGAAAGCTTCCTAACAGGTATCTTTTTTCTATATAATAATAATTATGATTATATGAATAGAGAAAATACACATTCCCTACTACTACTACTACTACTACTACTACTAATACTACTCGTTATACTACTACTACTACTACTACTACTACTACTACTACTACTACTACTACTCCTACTACTAATAATGATGATTACAGCTACATTAACATATTTGTAAATACCCATGGGATGCTTATGGCACCAACAAAATAGTATTATGAGCCCTACACTTGCTATTAGGCCCTGAAAGCATTTAAGGAAAGCTTCCTAACATGTATCTATTTTCTACACCTGGATAGATAGTGACAAATGTGCATTAATGAATATCGAAGACAGATAAGTAAAAGTTCCCCCACTAAAAGGGGGAAAGATTCGACTTTTGTTTTCATATCCAGAGATGATGAAAAGTTATTTTATTTTAATACTTATCTTGAAATAAAAAGGTGGTTCATCATTTCTGAGGGTAAAACAATGAGTCTAATCAATTTCAAAATTTTAGTTCCTATTCAACCATTTTACGAAACGATGTGAATCATGGATTTGCAAAACATAATACGTTTAAGATATTTAACATTTAACATATTTAAAAGTAAATCCAAACAAATGACTTACGAGTTGGTTCATCACAATAGATCCCCTCATAATGATCTTGGCATTCACACTCGTACTGTCCCTGTCCAATAGGACTGCAGACACCATTGACACACAGGTTTGGTTGGGTGCAAGGATCGGTGTTACCTGTCAAAAGTAAAATTGTTGTAGCATAGAATTTACAAATTAATGTTTGTAGTTTTATTCCTCAGTTTCCAGGGCAACATTGGCTAAACATATTGTTTTGATTAATTTACGTTTAAGAGATGAAGGGGTAATCTCAAAGAAAGGGAAAATGCAAAGATTCAACCACTGGTAACAACTTGGGAGCTCCTAATGTTAGTCGTTGTGATAATCATATGTTCCCAAGGTTCGTTTTTGCTAAAGGTTCTTTTTATTATTAAGTAACCGTTAGTTTCCTCTAAACCAAAAAACTATTTGACTTGTACGAAGAATTCCGATTGGTATATTCTTTACTACTAAGTTGGATGAAATGATTAATTCAAATTACCAGAACGTTTTGTTGTCTATTAAGAATTTGATAAATCAGTGGTCTAAGAGAAATCTTACTGTTGTAGGAAGGGTCATTGTTGTATAAAAACACCTCCTACTTTCAAAGTTAACGTATTTGAATTTAATATTCCAGATCCACCAACAGAGGTTATTAATGATCTTAATATATCATTATATAGGTTTATCAGAAAAGGTATGGATAGAGTTACCAGAAACCAAATGATTCAATATTATGGTAAAGGTGGGATAGGAAGGTTGATGTTAAAACTTATATTCGCATGTCTGCGCGCACAAAACTTTCAACATGCTCCAAATCGTCTCAAATTCATTTCCTAAATGTTTTAGGCCATTTTTAGCATTTTTCGTGCCCAACATAGAGTCGTCATTTTTTCTTTCATGATATTTTTCATACTTTTTCGAACAATTTCATACCATTTTTATCTGTTTATGACCATTAATAACGGAATGATCGTCCGTTAAAAATAAATGTCCTTGCGCGCTATAGCTCCTGTAAAATAAAGCATATATCGACAAAAACATGCCTATAACAAGACCATTATAGCTTTTTGGAATTCTTGAGGACCGCCACTTTTTTAAATATTTAGATAGAGTATGGGTAGAAGATATGATTTCATGTCTCATTTGGCCATTAAGTACATCTTGACGTCATCATAAAAAGGCCGTGGAACTCAAAATACGATTTTGCATATATCGACAAAAACATGCCTATAACAAAACCATTAAAGTTCTTTGGAATTCTTGAGGACCGCCACTTTTTTAAAATATTTAGATAGAGTATGGATAGAAGATATGATTTCATGTCTCATATGGCCATTAAGTACATCTTGACGTCATCATAAAATGGCCTTGGAACTCAAAATACGATTTTGCATATTATTACGTCAGCAAATTTATGGAAAATTGATTGTATCTCTGTAAATATTGATCAATTTTTCTTCCGAATCTTGATATGTTGAAACTGAAACAACTTTCTTTAAGGTCAATTACACATTTTTTTCATTTGAGAAAGTCATCATATGTAAAATTGCAATTAAAGGAGACAAGACAGAATTTTCTTAATTTGCGTGTTTTGTCTATGGACGGTGAATTTCGTTCACATCATGAATCTACATATCATTGTTCTTTGAGCAGTATTTTTGCTCTATGTTTTCCCCAAATTTGCTATGATATAACTGAGATTTTAAGCTATATGCAATCTGCCTTTTGTTTTTTGATCAAATGTTGGGGTCATGTCAACATTTTCAATTGAAAGTTGAATTGGGATTATGACAAGGCCGTTCGTCAGCTTTGCATGTAGAGTTTATGAGAATTATTAAGGTATATTGGTTAAAGCACTTGCCTGCTATTCCGGCGACACACGTTCGATTCCCGGTAGTCAATTTTGTTTTGGATTTTTTGTTTTAATATTTGATTTTATCACGGGTACCCTCCCGTTTGTGACTATCTGACAAGAGACGGTTGATACTAAGCTGCTGAGACATTTTGATAGAACATGACGGGTGGAGTATTTTATAAAATGAGATGAAATTTTGAAAATGCATTATTCTTTATGTCAATTAGGGTCAAAGGTGTAACTGGTTATGGTACAGGGTCAATTGTCATATTGTTTCGCTCTTTCTTCCATAGATCCATAATCATCAATGCTAGACAGTTGAAACTTGACATTTGAATAGACCATATTATGGGAGGAGAATATTTTATATGATGATATGAAATCGTGAAAATGCGTTTTTCAATATGTGAAACTTGTGCATACGTATCACGTAATTCGTCAAAGTGATTTCCCATTTCTCAATGAGCAACATGCAATATTATTTTTGGATTTTGCTTTACTTAAAAAGTATATTAATATAGGAATGTAATCTGCTCCGACTTTATATAAAGCTTACCTGAATCACACGTCATCCCATCATAGCCATCAACACAGTCACAGGTGAAGCTGTCAATTAGATTGTTACACGTTCCTCCATTCAGACAGGGATAGCTGGCACATTCGTCGATATCTGTGTGAATTGAGATTCAATGACAATCATTGGAATGAACGTGACGAGAAAATCATTTCCATTTTGACAGATTTTTCTATAAACCTTTGGCGACTAACAGGAAAACCAAAACAAGAACAAAGTTTTTTAAATGCAAATTAGTGACAATTGAGAAAGCAACTTCGTCATTTGCTGAACTATTGATAAATAAATCAAATGAAGTAAACAATCAAAATCTATCTTGTTTTGTTCGAAATTTTCCCCGAAATAATGGACTTAGAAGTAGAAAAAAAAGCTACGAAAGGCAATTGATCTTTCCTTTTGGGGTAAAATATATAAACAAAATGGACGCGGAAATGTTATAACAAGGACTGAGTTTTAAGACACCTTAGCGCCAAAAGTGGAATATTTATTATCTTTATGAAATATGCCACTCTTATCATACCCTAAAACAAATCTTCATAAACAGAGATCGCTGTGGGAACCACATTATCAACTCTGCTCCACTAATGGCCGCGCACTCCCTTTTTCGCAGGTTCCTACTCATAATCAAGACAAGCAATGTTTTTCTCAGTTATGCACCAAAATATGGAACACCCTTTCCATCTTGTGTCTGTATTTCACTTCTGTTGACTCTTAAGTTAAGAAATACCTTTAAATAATATTCCTCTCCACTAACTAGATATTTCTTTCTTTTTTCTTGAATCTTTATGTATAATTTCTCAATGAGCAACATGTAATATATCTTTTGGATTGTGCTACACTTAAAAGGTGTATGGATATAGAATTGTAATCTGTTTCGACTTTATATATAGCTCACCTGAATCACACGTAATCCCATCATAGCCATCAACACAGTCGCAGGTGAAGCTGTCAACTAGATTGTTACACGTTCCTCCATTGAAACAGGGATTGCTGGCACATCCGTCGATATCTGTGTGAAGTGAGTTTCAATGACAATCATTGGAATGAACGTGACGAGAAATATATTTCCATTTTGAAAGGTTTGTCCATCAACTTTTGGTGACTAACAGGAAAACCAAATAACAATTGTTTTTTAAATGCAAATTAGTGACAATTGAGTAAGCAACTTCTTCATTTGTAAAACTATTGATAAATAAATCAAATGAAGTAAACAATCGAAATATATCTTGTTTTGTTCGAATTTTTTTCCAAAATCATGGACCCAGAACAAGAAAAAAAGTCCAAAAACATTTATCGTTTTCTGATAAAGTTTGATGTGGTCTTGTAGAAAAAAAAGGTAAAAAAGGCAATTGATCTTTCCTTTGAGGCAGAAATATATAAACAAAGTTTACGCAGAAATGTAATAAGGTCTGAATTTAAGACACCTTAGCGCCAAAAGTTGAATAGTTGTTATTGCAATTAAATATGCCACTTCTATCATACCCTACCACAATAGCAAGTCTGCTCTACTAATGGCCATGCACTCTTATTTCCCCAGATGCCTTCTCAGAATCAAGAGAAGAAATGTTTTTCTCAGTACCGCACCAAAATGTGAAAGAAGAAGGGGAGTGGGAAGAAGGGGAGGGGGAAATAAGTCCAAGGAGTTAGGGAGGAGGAGGTGAAGGGACAGGGTCTTGGGGGTAGATTGTGTTTTAATGAAAGAAAAACTCATAATTTTATTCTGTAAAGTAATATGTTGAGAAATATTAAACTCAATTTTTAAGTTTTAAGGATTCACTCTTATTCTGAAAAAGCAATGATTGCCCTCGCTTTTTAAATGTCATTACTGTAGTGCGGTAATATTTTCCTATTATGTGATTGTGAAATATGTTAGTCCCATACATTGTGAAATTATAAACAATGTTTTATGTTGTGTTTATGTTCGTTTATAAAAATGATTATAAAAAGCTTTGGTATAATTATGATGCAGTTTTGTATAAACTATGATATGAACGAAAAAGGGTTCGAGTTTTGAGAAATAAACCAAGGAATACCACAAAAAAACATAAAATTGAAAAAGGTGTACGATTGTGAAATGAGAAGGTGAGTAGACTTTTTCACCTTCGTTATTAAAATCTCGAGAGGGGGGTTGCAGTTGCAATAACGATATTGAAATGTATTAAGAGGTGGAAATCACGATATGAGTTAGTCATGGTCTTAATCTTGCTTTTATTAAGTAAACACTGATATTCTTTAGAGCAAAATTCTTCTTTGAAACAATACGAAGGTCCAAAAAGCACTAACGTACAATTACACACAGCTCCAGTGAATCCTTCAAGGCATTCGCATGCATTCCCATCGGCATTACAGTTACCTCCATTCAGACACTGATCGTCACTAGAACAGAATTCTACAAAGAGAAAAGAAAATGTCTTTTGATTAAAAACAAAATGTACACTGATCGATCTCGACCGATCCGTTCGAAAAGCTTTCCCTATCCATACTGTCAAGTATAAGGGAGGAGGGGGGGGGGGGAGGGTACATGAAAGGGGAAGGGGAGTGGGAACAAGGGGAGGAGAAATATGTCCAACGAGTTAGAGAGGAGGAGGTGAAGGGACAGGATTTGGAGTAGATTGTCTTTTAATAAAAAAAACTCATAATTTTGATTCTGTTAAAAAATATGTTGAGATATATTAAACTCAATTTTTGTTTGGAGGATTCACTCTTATTCTGAAAAAAAGCAATGCTTTTTCTCGTTTTTTATATGCCATTACTGTAGTGCGGTAATATTTTCCTATTATGTGATTGTGAAATATTTTAGTCCCATACATCGTAAATTTATGAACAACGATGTATTTTTTGTTTATGTTCGTTTATAAAATGATGAAAAAAAGCTTTGGTATAATTATGATGCAGTTATGTATAAACTATGATATGAACGAAAAAGAGTTTAATACACGCTCCTCCATTCGAACAGGGAAAGCTGTCACATTCATCGATATCTGTGTAAATTGAGTTTCAATGACAATCATTGTATAAATGAACGTGATGAGAAAATCATTTCCATTTTGTCAGATTTTTCTATAAATCTTTGGCGATTAACAGAAAAATCGAATACAAGTAGTTTTTAAATGCAAATTATTGACAATTGAGAAAGCAACTACTACATTTGTAAAACGATTGATAAATAAATCAAACGAAGAATACAATATAATTGTATTTTGTTTTGTCCGAATTCTTTTCCAAAATCATGGACTCAGAAGTGGAAAAAGTCTCCCAAACAATTATCGTTGTCTGACAAAGATGTATGTGGACCTTGAAGAGAAAAAGCTAACATAGGCAATTGACCTTTCTTTTGGGGTGAAATATACAATTTAGTAGCAAGGTCTGAGTTTTAAGACACCTCAGCGCCAAAAGTTGAATCGTTATTATCGAAATGAAATATGCCAATCTTATCGTACCCTAAAACAAATCTTGATAACCAGAGATTGTGACCACTTAAACAAAAATTGTTTGCCCCAGTAAATGGGAAAATTGCGTTGATCAATATTTCGCTCATTTGGGGGGGGGGGGAGGGAAGGGGGTAACAGAGCGATATTTTTTTTGTTATGCAGCACGACCCCTCCCAAACCCTTGAGGAAAAAAAAAGTGAGGGGGGTTTAAACCCCAAAACACCCTCCCACCCATGCGTTCGCGACTGATGTAGAGCCCCCGATTCAGTGTTATTGGAGACATACAGTTTTTAACATTCTCCTTTTTGATCCACACTGTAGCTTAATTCACACTTTTGTTATTTTGGAAGATGGAATGATTCTTAGAGCAAAGTTTGTTCATTGGTGATCGAATGGAGATGCGAAGCCTGAGTTGAAAGGTAGGAGGTGTGAAGAAATCTTACCTACGCCACAGCTTGAACCAGCTGGACAGGTGCACGTACCCGATTCACAAATCTCTGCGTTCTGACAATCCGCGTCATCGGTACAGGTGACTGTAACGAGCCAATGATAATTGTGAACAAGTATGAGATGGTCTGTATTTAAGTTATTTCAATGACAATGAGAACCAGTGGCGGATCCAGGGAGGGGTCCGGGGGCACGGGACTCCTCCCATGGGGTTAAAACAGGTAAAAACACGTTAATTTTACCATTATTTGAAGACGGGCTCCCTCCCCTGGTGCTCAAGGGGAAAGGGGGTTGTGATCTCCTTTTTTTGGGGGGGGGGGGGCAACATTATTCAGTGGCTGGCTGTTTCGCCTTTTAATATTTTCTCACAAATTGGGCCCCCTCCCCTGCTGCCGGCTGGATCCGCCCCTGATGAGAACGATTAAAAGAACCTGAACACGACGATGATAGTGATAATTATGAAGATAACTGTATTGATAACGACTGTGGTGATGATGAATTAAGACGACTACAATGTCATTATCCGAAGTTTATATTATCAAGTTCTAAGTTTCAAACCGAGTCGCTGTCCCCTTTTATTTTTTTATAGATATGAACATAACTTCAGGACAAAGTAAAACAGTTTACTTTCGTCATTGACATTCATTGAGCAGTTTCACACTTTTGTTATTTAGGAAGATGAATGATTCTTAGAGCAAAGTTTGTTCGTCAGTTCCTCGCTTTGAATCAACTAATAAAGGCCTTAGAACTAAAATAAATATTGTGACTTTTCATTGGTGATCGAATGGAAATGCGAAGCCTAAATTGAAAGGTAGGAGGTTTGAAGAAATCTTACCTTCATCACAGGTTGAACCAGCTGGACAGGTGCACGTATTCGAAACACAAGTCTCTCCGTTCTGACAATCCGCGTCATATATACAGGTGCCTGTAACGAGCCAATGATAATTGTGAACAAGTATGAGATGGTCTGTATTTAAGTTCTTTCAATGATAATAAGAACCAGTGGCCGATCCAGGGAGGGGACCCGGCGGGGGGGGGGGGGGGGAAGAGCCCCTCGACCCCTTTGAGAAAAAACAGGTAAAAACACTTTAATGTTACCTTTATTTAAAGACGGTTCCCCTCCCCTGGTGCTCATGGGGGAAGGGGGTTGGGATCTCTTGTGCCCACGAATTTTTTAATTTTTTTTTGCCCCCTGCAAATACGAACATCTCGTCGACGAATATTTCAGTCAGGTGGGGGGGGGGGGGGGTGGGGGTAAAGTAGCATTTTTTTTGTTTTAATTATGCAGCACGACCCCTCCCCGACCCTTGAGCAAAAAAAAAAAAAAAAGGAAGTGGGGCTTTAACCCCCAAAACGCCCACCCCATCCATGCGTTTGCAACTGATGTAGAACCCCCCACTCATTGTTATTGGAGACTTACAGTTTAGAACAATCTCCTTTTTGATCGACACTGTAGCTTGATTCACACTTCTGTTATTTCGGAAGATGGAATGATTCTAAGAGCAAAGTTTGTTCGTCAGTTCTTAGCTTTGAATCAACTAATAAAGGCCATAGAACTAAAATAAATATTGTGACTTTTCATTGGTGATCGAATGGAAATGCGAAGCCTGAGTTGAAAGGTAGGAGGTTTGAAGAAATCTTACCTTCGTCACAGGTTGAACCAGCTGGACAGGTGCACGTATTCGAAACACAAGTCTCTCCGTTCTGACAATCCGCGTCATATATACAGGTGCCTGTAACGAGCCAATGATTATTGTGAACAAGTATAAGATGGTCTGTATTTTAGTTCTTTCAATGACAATGAGAACCAGTGGCGGATCCAGGGAGGGGACCCGGCGGGGGGGGGGGGGGGGGGAAGAGCCCGTCGACCCCTTTGAGAAAAAACAGGTAAAAACACTTTAATGTTACCTTTATTTAAAGACGGTTCCCCCACCCTGGTGCTCATGGGGGAAGGGGGTTGGGATCTCTTGTGCCCACGAATTTTTTAATTTTTTTTTGCCCCCTGCAAATACGAACATCTCGTCGACGAATATTTCAGTCAGGTGGGGGGGGGGGGGTGGGGGTAAAGTAGCATTTTTTTGGTTTTAATTATGCAGCACGACCCCTCCCCGACCCTTGAGCAAAAAAAAAAAAAAAGGAAGTGGGGCTTTAACCCCCAAAACGCCCACCCCATCCATGCGTTTGCAACTGATGTAGAACCCCCCACTCAGTGTTATTGGAGACTTACAGTTTAGAACAATCTCCTTTTTGATCGACACTGTAGCTTGATTCACACTTCTGTTATTTCGGAAGATGGAATGATTCTAAGAGCAAAGTTTGTTCGTCAGTTCTTAGCTTTGAATCAACTAATAAAGGCCATAGAACTAAAATAAATATTGTGACTTTTCATTGGTGATCGAATGGAAATGCGAAGCCTGAGTTGAAAGGTAGGAGGTTTGAAGAAATCTTACCTTCGTCACAGGTTGAACCAGCTGGACAGGTGCACGTATTCGAAACACAAGTCTCTCCGTTCTGACAATCCGCGTCATATATACAGGTGCCTGTAACGAGCCAATGATAATTGTGAACAAGTATAAGATGGTCTGTATTTTAGTTCTTTCAATGACAATGAGAACCAGTGGCGGATCCAGGGAGGGGACCCGGCGGGGGGGGGGGGGGAGAGCCCCTCGACCCCTTTGAGAAAAAAACAGGTAAAAACATTTTAATGTTACCTTTATTTAAAGACGGTTCCCCTCCCCTGGTGCTCATGGGGAAGGGGGTTGGGATCTCTTGTGCCCACGAATTTTTTAATTTTTTTTTTGCCCCCTGCAAATACGAATATCTCGTCGACGAATATTTCAGTCAGGTGGGGGGGGGGGGGGGAGGTGGTAAAGTAGCATTTTTTTGGTTTTAATTATGCAGCACGACCCCTCCCCGACCCTTGAGCAAAAAAAAAAAGGAAGTGGGGCTTTAACCCCCAAAACACCCACCCCATCCATGCGTTTGCAACTGATGTAGAACCCCCCACTCAGTGTTATTGGAGACTTACAGTTTAGAACAATCTCCTTTTTGATCGACACTGTAGCTTGATTCACACTTCTGTTATTCGGAAGATGGAATGATTCTAAGAGCAAAGTTTGTTCGTCAGTTTCCTCGCTTTGAAGCAACTTATAAAGGCCATAGAACTAAAATAAATATTGTGACTTTTCATTGGTGATCGAATGGAAATGCGAAGCCTGAGTTAAAAGGTAGGAGCTTTGAAGAAATCCTACCTACGTCACAGGTTAAACCAGCTGGACAGGTGCACGTACCCGATACACAATTCTCTCCGTTCTGACAATCCGCGTCATATATACAGGTGCCTGTAACGAGCCAATGATAATTGTGAATAAGTATGAGATGGTCTGTATCAAAGTTCTTTCAATGACAATAAGAACCAGTGGCGGTTCTAGTAAGGGGGCTCGGGGGGCAAGGGCCCCCTCCCTTGGGAGAAAAACAGCTAAAAACACGTTAATTTATTTTACCTTTATTTGAAGACGGTTCCCCTCCCCTGTTGCTCTAGGGGAAAGGAGGTTGTGATCTCCATTTTGGGGGAGGGCAAAATTATTCACTGGCTTGCTGTTTCGCTGTTAAATATTTTCTCACGAATTGGGCCTACTCCCCTGCCACCGGCGGGATCCGCCTCTTATGAGAACGACTAGAAAGAACCTGAACACGATGATGATTGTGATTATCATGAAGATAACTGTATTGATAACGACTGTGGTGATGATGAATTAAGACGACTACAATGTCATTATACTAGCTTTGTACTATGCAGTTCTAAGTTTCGAACCGAGTCGCCATCCTGTTTTTTTTCATAGAAATGAACATAACTTCAGGACAAAATAAAAACGGGTAAGTGTCGTCATTGACCATCATTGAGCAGTTTCACACTTTTATTATTTGGGAAGATGAAAGATTCTTAGAGCAAAGTTTGTTCGTCAGTTTCCTCGCTTTGAATCAACTAATAAAGGCCATAGAACTAAAATAAATATTGTGACTTTTCATTGGTGATCGAATGGAAATGCGAAGCCTGAGTTGAAAGGTAGGAGGTTTGAAGAAATCTTACCTTCGGCACAGGTTGAACCAGCTGGACAGGTGCACGTACCCGATACACAAGTCTCACCGTTCTGACATTCCGCGTCATCGGTACAGGTGACTGTAACGAGCCAATGATAATTGTGAATAAGTATGAGATGGTCTGTATCAAAGTTCTTTCAATGACAATAAGAACCAGTGGCGGTTCTAGTAAGGGGGCTCGGGGGGCAAGGGCCCCCTCCCTTGGGAGAAAAACAGCTAAAAACACGTTAATTTATTTTACCTTTATTTGAAGACGGTTCCCCTCCCCTGTTGCTCTAGGGGAAAGGAGGTTGTGATCTCCATTTTTGTGGGAGGGCAAAATTTTTCACTGGCTGTCTGTTTCGCCATTAAATATTTTCTCACGAATTGGGCCCCTTCCCCTGCCGCCGGCTGGATCCGCCCCTGATGAGAACGGCTAAAAAGAACCTGAACACGATGATGATGATGGTGATAATCATGAAGATAACTGTATTGATAAAAACTGTGGGGATGGTGAATTAAGACGATTACAATGTCATTATACCAGGTTTATACTATTGAGTTCTAAGTTTCAAACCAAGTCGCTGTTCCGTTTTTTTTTTTTTTTTATAGATATGAACATAACTTCAGGACAGAGTAAAAACGGTTTACTGTCGTCATTGACATTCATTGACCAACTGGACAGGTGCACGTATTCGAAACACAAGTCTCTCCGTTCTGACAATCCGCGTTTTCTGTACAGGTGACTGTAACGAGCCAATGGTAATTGTGAACAAGTATGAGATGGTCTGTATTTTAGTTCTTTCAATGACAATGAGAACCAGTGGCGGATCCAGGGAGGGGGCCCGGGGGAAAAACAGCTAGAAACACGTTAATTTTACATTTATTTGAAGACAGTTCCCCTCCCCTGGTGCTAATGGGGGGAAGGGGATTGTAATCTCTTGTGACTACTATTTTTTGTAATTTTTTGTTGCCCCTACAAATACGAACATCGCGTCGACTATTCCAACCAGCTGGGGGGAGGGGGGAGGGGATAAAGGAGCATTAATTCTTTTTTTTTATTCAGCACGTTCCCTTCCCCACCCTTGAGCAACAAAGGAAAAAGTGACGGGGTTTAACCTCCAAAATACCCTCCCACCCATGCGTTCGCGACTGATGTAGAGCCCCCGACTCAGTGTTATTGAAGACTTACAGTTTTCAACAATCTCCTTTTTGATCAAAACTGTAGCTTGATTCACACTTTTGTTATCTTAGAAGATGAATGCTTCTTAGAGCAAAGTTTGTTCGTCAGTTCCTTGCTTTGTATGAACAAATAAAGGCCATTGAACTAAAATTAACCTTGTGACTTTTCATTGGTGATCGAATGGAGATGCAAAGCCTGAGTTGAAAGGTAGGAGGTTTGAAGTAATCTTACCTACGTCACAGGTTGAACCATCTGGACAGATGCACGTACCCGATACACAAGTCTCTCCGTTCTGACATTCCGCGTCATCGGTACAGGTGCCTTTAACGAGCCAATGATAATTGTGAACAAGTTTTAGATGGTCTGTATTTTAGTTCTTTCAATGACAATGAAAACCAGTGGCGGATCCAGGGAGGGGGCCCGGGGGCAAGGGCCCCCTCCCCTAGGGAAAAAACAGGTAAAAACACATTAATGTTACCTTTATTTGAAGACGGTTCCACTCCCCTGGTGCTCACGGGTGTAGGGGGTTGTGATCTATTTTGACCACTAAATATTTTGATTTTTGTTTGCCCCTGCAAATACGAAAAATCGCGTCGAGCAATATTTCGCTCAGTTTGGGGGAGGGGGGGGGGGGAGAGGGGGTTAAGGAGCATTAATTTTTGTTATGCAGCACGACCCCTCCCCCACCCTTGAGCAAAAAAAAAATAGGGAGGGGGCGGGGGTTAAGGAGCATTATTTTTTTTTTGTTATGCAGCACGACCCCTCCCCCACCCTTGAGCAAAAAAAAGAGGTAAAAAAAGGAGAGGGGTTTAACCCCTAAAACACCCACACCCACGCGTTCGCCACTAATGTAGAGCCCCAGATTCAGTGTTAGTGAGACTTACAGTTTTCAACAAACTCCTTTTTGATCAAAACTATAGCTTGATTCACACTTTTGTTATTATGGAAGATGAATGATTCTTAGAGCAAAGTTTGTTTGTCAGTTCCTCGCTTTGAATCAACAAATAAAGGCCATTGAACTAAAATTAACATTGTGACTTTTCATTGGTGATCGAATGGAGATGCGAAACCTGAGTTGAAAGGTAGGAGGTTTGAAGAAATCTTACCTCCGTCACAGGTTGAACCATCTGGACAGGTGCACGTATTCGCAACACAAATCTCTCCGTTTTGACATTCCGCGTCAGTGGTGCAGGTGACTGTAACGAGCCAATGGTAATTGTGAACAAGTATGAGATGGTCTGTATTTTAGTTCTTTCAATGACAATGAGTACCAGTGGCGGATCCAGGGAGGGGGCCCGTGGGAGGGGGGGGGGGGAACGGGTAAAAACACGTTAATGATACCTTTATTTGAAAACGGTCCCCATCCCCTGGTGCTCATGGGGGAAGGGGGTTGTGATCTCTTGAGGCCACCTTTTTTTTTCTTTTCTTTTTGCCCCTGCAAATACGAACGTCGCGTCGACCAATATCTTCGATAAAGGAGCATTTTTTTTTTATGCAGTACGACCTCTCCCCCAACATTGAGCAAAAAAGAGAGAAAAGGGAAGGGGGTTTAACCACTAAAACACCCACCCATGCGTTCACGACTGATGTAGAGCCCCCTCCCCCACTCAGTGTTATTGGGGACCTATAGTTTTCAACAATCTCCTTTTTGATCATTTATAGCTTGATTCACACTTTTGTTATTTTGGAAGATGAATGATTCTTAGAGCAAGTTTGTTCGTCAATTCCTCGCTTTGAATCAACAAATAAAGGCCATTGAACTAAAATTAACCTTGTGACTTTTCATTGTTGATCGAATGGAGATGCAAAGCCTGAGTTGAGAGGTGGGAGGTTTGAAGAAATCTTACCTTCGCCACAGCTTGAACCAGTGGGACAGGTGCACGAACTCGAAACACAAGTCTCTCCGTTCTGACAACCCGCGTCATCGGTACAGGTGACTGTAACGAGCGAATGATAAATGTGAATAAGTATGAGAAGGTCTGTATTTAAGTTATTTCAATGACAATAAGAACCAGTGGCGGATCCAGGGAGGGGGCCCGGGGGCAAGGGCCCCCTCCCCTGGGGAGAAAACCGGTAAAACACATTAATGTTACCTTTATTTGAAGACGGTTCCACTCCCCTGGTGCTCACGGGTGTAGGGGGTTGTGTTCTCCTTTTTTTTTGGGGGGGGGGCAACATTATTCAGTGGCTGGCTGTTTCTCCATTTAATATTTTCTCACGAATTGGCCGCCCTCCCCTGCTGCCGGCTGGATCCGCCCCTGATGAGAACGACTAAAAAGATCCTGAACACGATGATGATGGTGATAATCATGAAGATAACTGTATTGATAACGACTGTTGTGATGATGAATTAAGACGACTACAACGTCATTATACTGTTGAGTTCAAAGTTTCAAACCGAGTCACTGTCCCGTTTTTTTTTATAGATATGAACATAACTTCAGGACAAAGTAAACTGTGTTTACTTTCGTCATTGACATTCATTGAGCAGTTTCACACTTTTGTTATTTAGGAAGATGAATGATTCTTAGAGCAAAGTTTGTTCGTCAGTTCCACGCTTTGAATCAACAAATAAAGGCCTTTGAACTAAAATTAACAATGGACTTTTCATTGGTGATCGAATGGAGATGCGAACCCGGAGTTGAAAGGTAGGAGGTTTGAAGAAATCTTACCTCCGTCACAGGTTGAACCAGCTGGACAGGTGCACGTACCCGATACACAAGTCTCTCCGTTCTGACAATCCGCGTCATCGGTACAGGTGACTGTAACGAGCCAATGGTAATTGTGAATAAGTATGAGATGGTCTGTATTTTAGTTCTTTCAATGACAATGAGTACCAGTGGCGGATCTAGGGAGGGAAGCTTCATTCAGACAAGGATTAAGAGTCGAGCACGGTTCAATTAATCGTCTACTTTCTCTAATAATTTAATAAAACGTCAAAACTTCCGCGCTTCGCGCGGGAGTGGGAGAACTGAATTCAGATAAGGATTAAGAGTCGAGAACAGTACACCGAATCGTCTGCTTTTTCTCATTATTTAATGAAACGTCAAAGCTTCCGCGCTTCGCGCGGGAGGGGGAGAAACTTCATTCAGACAAGGATTAAGAGTCGAGCACGGTTCAACGAATCGTCTACTTTCTCAAATAATTCAATAAAACGTCAAAACTTCCGCGCTTTGCGCGGGAGCGGGAGAACTGAATTCAAATAAGGATTAAAAGTCGAGAACATTTATTTATGTCATCAAGGAAAACGACCATTTGCGCATACGCAAGTACTATACATAGTCCATAGGAAAAACAATTTAGCCTTCGGCCCCGGGTTTATAGGGTTAGATTTGTACATATTGGGACATTTAATTTTGTCGGTAATTGATGGCTAGTTTTGTCGGTAATCGTTGGCTTCTACACCCCCCCCCCCCACACTGAAAAAGGTCTAGCGACGCCCCTGGCTGTATGTAAGCTATACTAAGCAAAGACGTAGGTATTATTGTAAACACATTTCAAATCATAGAGAGATAATTTAATTTCTTTGCGGTATTTTGGTTCATGATTATAACGTATTAAATATGTCATTCACATTAATGATGGTACAATAGATTCCCTACCTTAACCACACAAAGAAAAATTAATACCAAACGAAACATTCTCATTTAGACTATCTAGTGTTTAATTGACTATTTGTGAGGACCGTCACGCTTGTAAAGTAGTGAGGCTGTATGTAAGATATACTATGCAAAGACGTAAGTATTATTGTAAACACATTTCAAATCATAGAGAGATGCCGTAGTTTCTTAACGGTATTTTTGTTCATGATTATAACGTATTAATTATGTCATTCACATACTAAATAAGTACATTTTACGTAGGGTTGCCTCATATTTTCTATCATAAATATATATGATTTCAATGTTTGACTTGTTACATGTGTCTTCCGAAGAAATAGGACATTCCAAAACAATGATAACTTTGATAGGTAGGAAGAGGAAACTTCAGGCAAAGATTTTCGGGGTTCATGTATCATTGTAAAGTAATAGGCTGGTCAAAAGTCAAATTCGTAGTGAGTTAGAATACATGTACTATATCCAATTCTCTCGGTAAATACAACAAAGGTGTTCTAGAAAAGTATCTGATAGTCGAGATCTGATGATTCTCTTTGGACAAATTGGAATCAGTGTAAAGCGGATAGACATTTCAAAAGTGGTAAACGTATTTTCAAACAAATATGATTAAAATCTTAAAAGATCTTACTAGCATCACTGCAGAGAGATCCACTAAAACCCGATGGACATGTACATGCAGCGTTCTCACAGACACCTCCGTTCGTACATGGATTGTGAGCAGGACAGTCAACTACAAAGAGGAGAGAAAATATCCTAAAATTTGATGACGAATCTTATGCATGCAATGTACACGTGGAAATGCGAAATGCATAATGATAAAACTACAACATTCAATTGTTGTCATATCAGTCAGTCATGGTAGTGTACGCA